CTGCCCTGTACTATGTGTGCAATAAAGAAACTTTTTCCAGTCCAGATCCACTAGACCAGATTCCTTATGGACACGGTGAATAGAAAGCCCTCTCTGTTATCTTGTGGATGAATTAAGTGAGGGCAATGATACTTTGCTCATTTCTAGAAATGACACATGGATTCCTCATCAAATTCTGCATGGGAATGAGAGAAGTTGGCTTTGCTTGTGCCTCCAGTAATCACAAACTGTAGAAACTTCTAGATAGTCTTTCTCTAAAGGTCCAGAGGTTTAATGCTGATGTGTGTATTCTCCAAGCAATTACCATTAGTGTTAGACTAACAGTACGGGATATGCTGTCTTGAGCTCTCTTAACATTCCTGGTCCATTTGTTGAGCTAAGGAAAGAATGACCTCACCTCCTTCCTGCTGCCTTACTTTTGCTTTTTGAGAGGCAGTGAAATAGAGAAACAAGGAGGATGTGCTTGCAAGAGAGAGCAGCTAAGCTCCCATCTGCTGGTACTCCCCAGTTGTTCCCTATAGTCGGGGCTGTAGGCTACTCCCTGGAAGTCAGGATCTCATTTCTGGTCTCCCATGAGAGGCAGGGACCCAATTGCTTGAACCATCACTGCTGCCTCTCAAGGTCCATGCTGGGAGGAAGCTGTAATTGGGAACCAAAGCCAGGACCCAAACTGAAATTTGCATATGGGACCTGAGCACCTCAGCTCTCTCCGCCTTCCCAGTATCTGCTTGCTCTCTGGCTTCCCATGCACAGACTCCAAAGACATGGAGCCCCTGAACTCAGCCCCTGTATGTTTGTATTCCTCACCCTCTGTTTACTGCTTGGGCCAGTTAGTAAAGATGCATATGCCAAGATGCTTTGCATTTCTAATTTGTGTACTTTCAAGAGTTCTGGGAGAGATGAGGTCTAGCAGTAATGAAACATGGACAGAGAAGCCAGGAACAGGTGAATGTTTATAGCTTTCTAAGTGTGTCTGCATTGTTTGCTGCATGGCTCAGGATGATTTATATTGATCTTTAATCATGGCAAGTGTGAAACATTTAGCAACTTTCAGGTAGTTGTTTTATTAACATCTTGATCTTTCTTGAGGGGAAGCTGTGGATTTAAATTTCGCTATTTTAAGTTATGAATTATTGTTATCTTCATTTACTAACTGTTCAGTTCCTATTTCTACTATATTAGGAAATCCATTTTTTATGTTAGCATTCATAAACAAGGGAGTGTGATATCACACACACACATTTAATGCCCTTGTGGCATTTACAAGTAATGCTGATGAGGACAAATTCAGCACCAAGCACATGATGGGCATGTGTTCAGTGGGGTCACAAGAAGAAAAGGCCCCGTGGACAGAGGAAAGGCAGTGGGTGGCTGTGTTCTTCTCAGTGACATTTGAAGATGTTTTTGATTAATTATGAAACGGAATAACAGCCCTGTTTATTACATGTCTGCCATCCTGCCAAATTACATTCATATATTTTCCTCCTTCAATTCTCGAGACAGCAGCAAACATGGCATAAATTAAGTTACTAACACAGAATGGAATTAAACTTATGGGCAAGAAAAGGTACTTTGGGTGCCAGCATTGTGATTCAACTGGCATCCCATATGGGAGTTGACCCATACGGGAATGATCCTATATGGGAGAGTCCCAGCTGCTACACTTCCTATCCTATTCCCTACCAATGAGCCTGGGTGAGCAGGAAGAAGTACTTGTGGGCCTGCCATCTAAATGGGAGACCCAGGTAAGTTCCTGACTTCTGCCTTTACCTGGTTCAGACCTGGACATTGTGGCTTTTGAGGAAGAATGAACAAATGAATGCAAGGCTTCCCTCTCCCTCCTCTTCCTTTTTCTCTTCTTTTAAATCTGCTTTTCTAGTGAATAGATGGGTGTGTTTTTTTTTAAGTCAAAAAAATTGCTTTAGGATTTGTCATTCTTTTCCTTTTTCATTCTAGGGATTTACATTCTGTTAAGGGGAAAGTCCCTGACATTTACATATAGAGTTCCCCTTTGTTTCTTCATTTAAAAAGGAGTCCGGGGGTTCTCAATCCTCAGTGTAGCTGTGTGTTACTATAAGGGGTGATTCAAACATGTAAACTTTTAAAAGTCAGTTAAGAAAGTTCAATGTAATTTAGTATTTGAATAGAAAACAAGCTTCCAGACACAGGGGTTATTGCCAAGTGATATTCCAATGAATTATGGAAGGACTGAGACTGTGACCAGTCACCTTCTTTTCTAAGATCAGCATCTTGTTGCATTTGGCTCCAGTGCCCACTGCAGAAAAGAGACAGGATCAGATAAGGGAGGCTTCAGCATTTTTAAAATGAAGGAATGCTTCTCTCTTTTGCTGTCCTACAGATTAGGAAAATTTCTGTCTTTCCCTGAATCCTTTCCCACCTATGAGAAGTAAAGGCTAATACTTATTTACAGATGTAAGCTTGGAAAAAAAGCCTCATCTTTGTGTTTTTATTGTTATTATTTTCCACGATATGGTTTGTAGGTATAGGGATTACCCCCTCAACATTCCCATCCTTTTTTCCCATTGTCCTTCCCCCATGTTATTACAGTAGTATAGTTCTTCAGCAACAGTCACAAGTCCAACATTCTGCTATTTAAGTGTATCATGACATTGTAGCTATTGGCAATGGTGGAATACTAGTTTCCTATTGTCAAGGTATATTTAGCAATGTTTAGCAAGTCCTGTTTTCATTCAGGAGTAGAGATACATGCTGCAATATATCTTCACTTCTCAATATGCGAGTTCTCCATTACATAGTTCATGTGTAAGAGCGTATGTATTATCTCATCTTTTCCTTGCAAGATTGGAGGCTTCTCTGAAATGGCCCTTCTTCCATTCCTTATGGTTATCTATTCACGCATTTATTTGAAAGTGAGGAAGAGTTATCACATCTGCCTTTTACTCCTCCAAATGCCTCTGGTAGTCAGGGTAAGTCAGACTGAGGCTAGGCATTGAAAACTCCATTTGGATGACTCACAGTGGTGCCAGGGACACAAGTACTTGAGCCATTTTCCTATGCTTCAGCATATGCATCAGCAAGAAGTTGCTGGTGAGCCATTTCCTTATGCCTCAGCATATACAGATCCTTGAACTCAGGCTTGCCTGTATGGAACATGAGCCTCCAAAGGGCAGCTTAAGCAGTGTGCCAAAAGCCTACTGCATATCCGTTCATCCTTAAGCTTCCCATAGTAATCCTTTCACACGTGACACCATTCGTCAGAATTTGTATATAGGGAATATGATTTGTGTTTAATTCCAAAATTTACCACTTAGCAGTTCATGTTACCTCATGCATTAAACCTCTGTGAGATTTATTTTTTCCTAGTTGATCATATATTAGCAATAATTTCTATCTCCTTCACACTGCTGGGAACTGTGTCTGGAACCCAGTAGGTATTCAATATTTGTTGACTAAATGAAAAAGTAATGTGCAACCGAGTAGAGAAGCATGCACATAATCAGTTTTCATCAGACTGCGGCTATTCATTTCAGCTGCTAAATAAATGGAATGGGTGTTATTTTGAATGTTGACAGAGCAGACTACAGAGATACGAGAGCCTTGGGAAGAGAACACAGCATCAACTTGTAAGTAATGATAGTGTTTGAGAGAATTCATCTGTAAATTCCAGTTTTGTTTAGTTCTAATTCTGGGATGAGACTCATTTCCTAGAATGACAGTCAGGGGCAGGGGTGTGTGCATCACACACTTTCACACCTGCAACCTGGCCCTTGGCTGCTGCAGGTTTTCCCTCAGCTCAGCAGGTCCCTTGGGCCTTCCTCAGCTTTTGGCAAGACAGCACCCGGAAGTCCATCTGTTCTTGTTTCTCATGTCCTGGGATCATCCTCCAAATCTGCTCTGGAGTTTTCCTACCCTTCCCATTCTGAGGGTTTGCTGCCAAGGCTATGGACTTGTAACTCAGCAATCCAGGAAGATGTTGAGTCCCTTGCCTGACTATGCACACTACCCAGCTTCCTGTGATGGAGCATGAGAGAGGGCTTCTTCTGATGGTGTTGAAGTGTCACATGGAAGAGCTCAGTTTGGCTTTGACTTACCTAACTCATCTGCTCCCTAGACCCAAATTCTGAAATAGACCATCAGGGACAGTATAGACCCCCTGCTCTCTGCTTTCTCTCTCACTGTTTCTCACACCATATCACATATGATATACACACACATATATATGTGTATGTGATACTCATCCATCTTCATGCCAAGCAAGCCTTCATGGCCAAATTAAGAACTCTTCTCTACACAGTTGATTCTGTAAGCCTAATCCCCCAGCCTGGGTTGTTGATCTGCTATTAAAGAAAGAAAATAAAATAATTTAAAAATGCTCTCTCAAGACAACATTTTGATTTGCAAGGCTGTGAGGCTTCTGCATAATCCTATTTTGCATACCAGAAACTAAAGATTACTTTGGTTTTAATCTTTGTACTGCTTCAGAACCAAATTCTAATATCCTTTGTAGACATATGGACACCTTCACTGGAGTAGGCATTTATTTGAAAAGAAATGGAGGGTATACAAGTAATTTCTTAAATATTTCCCTATTTCTTGGGTCTCTCAGGTTCAAATGAGAATTGGGAATCTTCTTTTCAGGAATTTTTTAGATATTCAGATTGTGAAAGGCTGCATACTATTTTTTTAAATGGTTCAAGCATTATTTGTATACAATGCATAATGTGAAAAATAATCAAATTCTGTAGTTGCAACTGTGTGCATAGATACACTCTGAATGTAAAACTATTTTGGTAATTTCGTGGTGTTGATGGCTATTGATGCTGAACTAAGCTCTGATCCATTTCCTTGAATGGAGACTTAACACTCTCCAGCTGTTTTCCAAGACTAAGATGGTTGTATTTTGTTAGGATCAAACCCATAAATTGAATGACCTGGTTTAATGGTTAGTGTTTCACACACACATGAATGTAGATTTTAAACCAGAAAAGCAGAAAATGAAAGTATGTTTTCTTTGCCAGGCATTTGATGTACTTGGAAGAGTTGAAGCTTACCTTAAGCTCCTTAAAGCAGAGGGTTTAAGTCTGCCTATCTTGGCAGCAAAGCATGAGGAATTACACCAAGAAATTAAAGCCTGCACGGCTGATGCTTTGCAAAAGGGACAAGCCTTAATCAGCCAAGTGGACTCTTGCAGGTAAGTCAAGTCTGTTTCTTCCCAAATGTACCAGGTTTTTGCAATTTCCACAGTCGTAAAAAATAAGTCGCATGATTCCTGCTGCCTTGCCCATCTTATCCCCTTCCCCCAGTTTTCCACACTTAACGATGTTTTGCCACATTTAGATGTATCTTGGAAAAAAAGTGTTGAATTTTGGTCAGCAATGATTCAGAATACAGTATTGCTCATTTAAATGTGAGGCCTGATTCTGAGCAAGAGGACTTGGGGAGGTTAAAGCTTTCTCTCCCCTGTTTCTGCCCAGGGAAGAGAGAACGGACAAAGTAGAAAGCAGAGCCTATTCTGTCCTAGCAGCTTCAGGGGGATGTTTTCCTTTTAGGTCATAAGCCTTAGGTTTTTCCTGTCCCTTTTTCCTTTCTGTTAGAAAAGAAGTGCTAAAATTCCCTTTCAATCATAACCTCATCAAACAAAATCCCAAGTAAAGGATGATGTTATTAGTAACAAGTACTCACTTCTATTCAGAACTGCCATGTGCATGCTGGGTACCCTGTTAAGAACTTTGGAAACTTTATCTCGTTAATCCTCACAACAAGGCCACAGGGAACATGATAGAATGTTTTCCTTTAACAGTTAAAGTTACCAAGACTGATGTAGAGCAATCCCCAAAATTGGTTCAAGGGTTTGCTACAGAATCTACGAAACTAGAACCTGTTGCCTGACATGCTCAAAACCAATCACTGACATTGGGGTGGTAGAAAAAAGGAAGTATTTGTTACAATGCACAGAGCAAGGTGCCACGAAGGTGTTCCCTAATTCATGGGCTCCTCTAGTTATTGGTGTGAATGTTCTGATGGGTTGAAGCTGGAGTGAGAGGTGGATGTTCAATTTATGTCCAGGTGTGAGCCCAGAACTTGGTTCTTGGACTAGCAGATTGAGATTCCAACAGGCGAGAAAATAACTTAGAATCTTTTGTAGCATTAGTGGCAATGAGAAATAATAGTGGCATAAAAAATAATCACTAGCCTGTGAGGGTAGTCACGCCACTAGTGGTGTTGCCTTTGTGTTTGTGGAAGCAATCAGCCACACACCCCCAGACATATGTAAGCATCCATCGTCCACATCTATCCACATCCACATATACCCACATACACCTACTTCCACATCCAACCGTGCTCCATAATTACTTATGTGGGCCTACTGACCAAAATGGCTGGGAAGGAAAACAGTTGTGCAGCAGGACTATGGCTGTTCTGGGTCTGCCAATTACCATGTTCTATGTTGCCGCAGAAGCAAAGAAATATAGGAACCTCAAGACAAGGGGACTTGGTGAACACCACCATCCCAGCAGGCTCCTTGTTGTTGGGCAGTGTTCATATCCTTGATTTGACTGGTCATCAGTATTACATAATTTAGGGAATTTTGTTGATGACTGAGTGAGCTTTAGTTAGTTTGTGGGCTGCATGCAGAGGACAGTTATATTTTGACCCAGACCTGAAATTTACTGAAAAGAAACCTCTCAAGATAATACCGCCCATAAAGGTGTTCCCTTTTGCAGAAGCAAATAACCTCCTGAACCTGCTGATGAGGATCTGTGCCTCCCTGTCAAGTCAGTTAGTTTTAGTGTGCAAGTGATTTGCTCTCACACAGTCAGGCATGGGCATTTTAAGGGAGGATGATTGGGAAACTGGGCCTGATGGTTTTTGACATCTGCATTTAAGGCACAGTATAATGGCCTCCTTTCAAGACTCAGAGAGGTTAAATAACTTGCAGACACACTTGCAGGATCAGATTCAATTAGCTAGACTGAATCAAAATCCCAAATTGAATGTTGTCTTAGCAATGCGATGGGTGGGTCACTTTTAAATTTTTATTTTATTTTAATAAATTCAGTGAATATAAGAGTGTGAGCTTAGAATGTGGGTAGTAGGAGGAATAAGGATCTTGAGAGACAGAAGCAAAACATAGAAAAGTGTGGAAGAAACGAGCAAATGCAACATCACAAAGGGATAATGGATGAGCCCATGAACAGGTGATGGATAGGAAGAAATGAAGGCAGAGGTCATACCCTGACAAATAACACCAAAAGAAGACTAGCATAAGTTACTCAATCCTAGATGTTCATTTTCCATCTCAAGAATCTCCTGAAAAACAGACATTGATTTCAATGAAATGCATATGAAATGGCAAATTTATCATGTATCTGAGCTGTTGCTCTGCTCTGTTTTAGATGTTGATGTGCTAACTGCGCAGTTTTCTCTCCTTAAGACTGTCTGAATCCAGACAGAAATGGTTAATCTAGGCTTGTGATGGTTGCTGGGAAACTAGGCAAAAGCCAAGATCAGAAATAATCCAAGATCATCTGGTCAGAGCCAAAAAGTTGAGGCCTTGAGAAGTGCACATGATTCTTTTACCCTTGGACTTAAAATTAAACAAGGACGTTTGTGGCTACTAAGTTTCTTTAGTTTGGCTTCAATTTACCCTTCAACCTCTGAAAGTCCCAACTGGCTCTCTTCTGATTTTATTTTCTACTAGGTGAAAAAATGGAATCTTGAAAGTTCAAATTTGTCTGAGATAAGGCTTCTCAGTAAGCTAGACAGTTTTATTGTAATACTACCTGACCCAATATGGCCCAATAGGGCTGTAAGTTCTACCTGGTTAGGCAATAGTTTACACTGTTTTTCTGTTCTGGAATCAATTACATTGGAAGTTTGAGCAGTGTCCCTACTTATAGTGATTATTTGTTGTTTTAAAATATTTATTTATTTGGTTTGAAAGGCAGTTGTGTTGGGGGCTCAGAGAAGAAAGCATGAATGAGAAAGCGAGAGAGAGACAGATCTTTCATTGCTGGTTTACTGCCCAAATGGCCACAATATTCAGACATCGGCCACACAGAAGCCAGGAGCCAAGAGATTCATCGGAGTCTCCGTGTGAATAAAGCTGGACCATTCTCTGCTCCTTTCTCAGGTATATTAGCAGGGAGCTGGATCAGAAGTGGAGCAGCTGGTTCCCCAACCAGTGCCCATATGGGATGCTGACATTACAGGTAGTGGCTTAATACACACAACACTGGCTCCTTTACTTGTCGTTTATTTATTTTTATTGGAAAGGCAGATATACAGAGAAGAGAAAAGACAGACAAAGATCTTCTGTCCACTGATTCACTCTCCAAGTGGCTGCAATGGCCAGAGCTGAGCTGATTTGAAGCCAGGAGCCTCTTCTAGGCCTCCCATGTGGGTGCAGGGTCCCAAGGCTTTGGGCTGTCCTCCACTGGTTTCGCAGGCCACAAGCAGGGATCTGGATGGGAAGTGGGACCACCAGGACACAAGCTTGCACCTATATGGGATGTCAGTGCATGCAAGCCGAGGACCTTAGCCAATAGGCTATCACACCAGGCCCTCTGGCTCCCTTTTATAAGATGGCTTCATAGGGGTGGATATGGTCATGTAGCAGGCTATTACTCTGCCTGCAAAATACTGGCATCCCAAATGAGTGCCAATTTGTGTTCTGGTGGTTCTACTTCCAATCCAGCTCTCTGCTATGGCCTTGGAAAGCAGCAGAAGATGGCCCAAGGCCTTGGGTTCTTGTAACCATGTGGAACACCAGGAAAAAATTCCTTCTGCCCAGCTTCAAATTAACTTAGTTTTGGCCATTGTGACCATTTGGGGGAGTGAAATAGCAGATGGAAGAGCTTCTTCTCTCTGTATATATATTTCCTCCTTTTTGTGTAAAAATCTGCCTTCCAATTAAAAAATAAATCTTTTTTTAAAAAGGTTGCTTCATGAAGTACTTGGAAAATGTACACTGTGAGAAGAGTATTATATCTGAAGTCTCTGCCTGAATCATCCCAGTAGTTAGTGCTCTGTGATTCTCAAAGTAGTACATTCCCATCTCATTAAATCAGCAAGCCTTTATCACTGAGCGCCAAAATAAAGATATCATTTACTTCTATTTCAGCAAACTTTTGGAAATTGTGTGTGTGTGTGTGTGTGTGTGTGTGTAAGAGAGATAAGGTAGAAAATGAGAGGAGGAGAGGTGGAGGAGGTTGGTTGTGAGAGATTCTCAAAGTAGATACCATAAATCAGAAAATACAATGGCAAAAACATGCATTTCAGTTCTACAAATGGCATTTTGTTCAAAGTAGAGATGAATATTAGAGAGGAGTGGTTGTTTCTTCCAAAATAAAATCAGCTGCAGACATGAGCAGATACATTGTTCAGGTTCCTGTTAAAAGGAGCAGCAATCTAAAGGAAGATTCCCCCCCCCCCCCAAGTTGGAAGTGTAATTTGTCCACAGACAAAAAGAAAATTCTGGTCAGCTGATCCCTTCTGATGAGACAGAGTAAACTGTCAAATGCTTACCATCTGGTTCAGCTCCTAATCCAGATGGGCTGCCAATAGTAATTTATGAGAGGTTTTTAAAGCAACTTGCCACTCTCTGGAAGGAATCATTAGAACATGTTAACATTGGGATTTGCTCCCCTCCCCTCCCCCAGCTCGTGACAGATGCACAGATCAAGCTCTGCTTCCACACAGTAACTGTGGCAGCCTTTTCTTGAGCCAAAAGTGAAAATGTCTCTACCTTTTGAGAAAACAATTATTTTTCTTTCCCCCTTTTGCTGCCCAGTAGATCAATAGTTAAAATCGTCTCAATGCGTGGTTTCTAACAAAAGTCTGAAACCACTTTCACGTTCTGTCTCTACTATCTGTGAGGCTCAAAAAAGTCAATGACAACGTCAGGCTAAAATCTGATGACCTTGTGTTCACATGACAGACAGTGCCATCTAAACCTTTCTTACAGAGAAAGCCCAAAGGTCCATCAGGTTTTCTCTGTAAGTAAACACACAGATGGTTAGAGCCAGAACGCCATCCATGAGAGCGCTTCTGCCACCCAGCTGGCCACACACAAGCAGTGCTGCTTTAGGACTAGAGCAAAATGATTTTGATTCAACCAAGTCTCTGTTAGGCACCTCATCAATTTAATGTGACGGTGAAGTATTCACAGTATCATGTGTTCCTAGATGGTCAATAGGATTCTATTAATTTATTTTGTTTATGTAAGGATTTTCAGCAAAGAATTGAGTTGTACCTTTTTTTTTTTTTTGATCAAACCACTTATGTGCAGGCACTAAGGAAATGCCCACAATCCTTGTTTTTAAAGTGTTTTGGAATAGTCAAAAGATAAGTTTAGCATTGGCATTTCATGTTTTGCCTGAAAATAAGGCAACAAGATTTGACTGGCTGATTGTGACCTACCAATTAGTGCTTTAGGAGGAGGAATAGAAAAGGGAGAATAGAATAGATGCAGGTCTAGGGCTAGGAGAGTGCAAGCAATATTCTGTTTGGGAATAATTTCTATCCAGTTAGAGGACCTAGTTGAGGAGACGCAGAGATTGAGATGGGAACTGCTGGGTAAGCAATATGATGGAGAACTGCTAGTACAAATTAAAGATCTAACAATGACAGTTGAATGCACACTGGTCAGACAATGCTGCAGAGCAGAACCAGGCAATTTTCAGGCTGTCCCTCTAAAAGTTTAAATAGAGGAAGAGTGCATCACTTGAACTAAACTACCCATGATAAGCCTGACTGAATGTAGCCACTTATGCCAAAGGCTACCAAAGAAGAAAGGAGGAAACCTTTGAATAGCTTAAACTGTGTGAGTGGCCAAAATACAAAATCATCAATAAAAAAACGATTAGAAATTGTTAATATTGACATTTCAAAATGCACTTATTTCAAAGGTAGGATGATGGAAATCTTTCACCTGCTGGCTCATTTTTGAAATGGCCAGTGTCTGGGTCAGGCCAATACCAGGATCCTGGAGTGCCATCTGGGTTTCCCACATTGAGTGGCAAGGCCCCAACCACTTACACCTGGCTCTGTTGCCCTCCCAGCCATGTTAGTAGGGAACTGGGTGGGAAGTAGAATAGCCAGGATTCAAACCAATCTCCCAAGAAGAATGCTGCTGTTGCAGGTGGTAGATTAGTTGAGTGTGTCACAATACAGGCCTCATTAGTGACATTTTTAGTAGGGTAACTACATGTATGTTTTTCTCAATGCTGAAATTGTATCTTCCTTACCTTTTAATATTAAGTAGAGTATATTTTTATTGGCTTTGAAACCGCACTGGTCTTCTATTATGTGCTCTGAGATGCAAGGGACATTATGTAAGAATGAAATGACACTATCCATCATTTTTCTTTGAAGAATTTGCAATGCAATAGGTATATATTATAAAACAGAAATCACCACAAAATAAAATATAGTTCCCCCTAGATCATTGAAAGGTAGGTGTGTGTGTGTGTGTGTGTGTGTGTGTGTGTGTGAGAGAGAGAGAGAGAGAGAGAGAGAGAGAAAGAGAGAGAGGAAGAGGAAGGATATCTTTACAGAAGGAACACTTGCTTTGGTTTTGTTTTCCCTTTTTTGCTTTTCTGGTCTGAAAGAAACTTCAGTACGTGTACTCTGAACAAGACATCATGCCCATCTAGTGGCTACTTTGCAAATTACAGACAGGCATAGCATTCCCTGCACATTCAGGAAAGCATGTCAGTCAGGCCATCCCTGTTTCTGTGATAGACAATAAAACTCACTTTATTAGAGCAAGATATTCCTTTAGCCCCATGCCATGCATAACAGACCCAAAAGAAAAGGACCATAAGGTAATAAAGAGTGTGAACTTAGAGATCAGATAAACAGATTCAAATATTGGCTCAGCCATGTCACAGATGGGCAAGTCAGTGAGCATCTGTTTTCCTCATTCTGCTCATCTGCAAAATGGGGACACAACTCAGGCTATTGTGACAGCAAGATTTATTCCTTCCAACAATAACAATGGTAACTGAACATATTAAGAGTTCAGTAATTATTTTTACTAGGTTTAGTTACAGAATTTTACAGTAAAAACTCAGCCAATACAGCCTATATTTTCCTAAATTTCAGGATTTAAACTAATTCGTACTTCAATAAAAAGTATTAGCTCTGATATGCATAAATATTTGCACATCAAAGAGACCTGATTTTAAAGGAGATCTTTGTTACCCACTTTATGTGTGCCCAGGGCAGCTTAGCTCACTTGTGAAGCTTCATTTTCATTGACTGAAAATTGGAGTCATTGATACCTTTTTGATACATCGTAAAAGTATTTTAACGATTGAATGACATAACGCCTGCCATGCACTTAACAAGTAAGATGCTTATTCTAAGAGGAGGCTGGACTCAATGTGACAGCTGGGATACGGCACCATAAGTAAGACAAACATAGGGAATCAACTGGTATCTTTGCAGGGTCTGGAAATGTCAGAACAAGGTTGGGTCACAGTCAGAGATCATGAATTCTGGCATCTGAATCATCATGGGTAGCACTTACAACTAGAGCTGTCTGGCAGCCATAATCTTTGTAGGTGGCCAAACAGTAACAAGTGATGTGAACAGGAACTAAGAAGCTTGGCTGGACCCAATGCAACCTATTTAAACTGTGTGCTCCTCTCTTAGTAACATCGTCTTGGTGCCAAAGACACCCCTCTTCTAGGCTTGGTTAGTAACTCGGACCTCTGAGGCAATACATGCTGAGGGACTTCCAGATGGAACCACAAAAAGCAAACATTTTTCCTCTTGATTGATGACTATTTTTGTATCAAATTTCCTTTGCCCTCTCTGAATTGTATCAAGCATTTCCTTATTCTTTTTGCTTTAATAGTGATGTCTGCCATTTGAAGCTATATTTCTTTCCTAATGTTTACTCATTTCCTTTCACAAACTTTGTTCTCTGGTCCTTCATTCCACACTACCATGTAGTGTCTTGATCTCCCTCCTTCCAAGTCTTCAGAAACCTTGGAACCTGTAGAGCACAGGGTCTCTGGGGTTTCCTGTACTTTGTTTAGCATATGATATCTCAAAGTCTAAAACCCAGTCAAAATATGGTTAGTATCAGCAAGGCATGGCTCTTACAGAATTTATGGAGTTAAATATCTTTAAGAATTATTCCTAAAATCTCTCAATGTTGTAATTATATTTTTCAAGGTTTTTGAATATTAACATGCAAAACTAAGTGTGTCAAGTTCTATATCTTTGGATTACTATGTGCCAAGGGTAAGTTTTCTCTTACAGATTATGTATTTTCTCAAAATTAAATTTGTCTGGGACTCCTATGGCACCCACAGGACACATCCACTAGGGCTGCTCCTCTTCAAGACTCTCATTGTCATTCCATGGAGCTTTGGCTGTTTCTCAGTCATTCAGTGTCTTGCCCTCATTTCATAACTAATTCATTTTTACAAAGTCATAAATTAATTATTTGACAGAAAAAATTACTGAAATCTATACAGCATCCCAAAAACTTAAAAAAAAATCTATCTGGTTAATTAAATATAAGCATTATCATTGTTAATCTCTATTAGTGTTTGAAGCAAATGATTGATGGGGAAGTAAACACTTCAAATACCTAAATAAGAAGCTAGGTTCTGACCTTAGGGCAAGCAGAACAGTTTAAAAGTGCTAATTGCATCAACAATATCCTCTTGTGGTTTTGCATTCCAGTGTGCCTAACCTGGTACAGGTTGGGAAACTTGCCAAGATCCCTTTTGCCTAGGGAAGCAGGGGTCCAGTGCAGTGTTCACTCGCTGTTTTAAAGGTTTTTCATTTGGTGAGTTTTTCATGCCACTTTTCTTTTTCTCATGAGGCCAGCACAATCAGAAATGATTATGTCAGGCTTGGTTTCCTTCCCTCCCACCCCCCGCCTTTTTGGGGGGCAGGAACAGGTTTATTTAATTCCTAATTGTTGGTAGTAATGCTTTTCATCTAATGAATATAGCCTTAAGCATTTGTGATTACCATGAACAAGGAATTTAGCATTATATAAATATTTTACCACGTTGATTATTAAATGTTTGTTAATTGGCTGATCCGCATTTCCAGTTGAAGAGCGTCTTTAGATAAATGACACATTTAAAGAACTGCCTCAGGAACACTTGGCAAACACGATGCACCTTTTGCCACAAGGTTCTTGAAATATCTTGGAGAAATATGAAAAGTAAACCTTTAGTAAAGAAGATCAGACCTGGTTGCAGCAATCCATAACTGATCTTTTCCCTCTGGATTGCCTGACTTAGAACAAGCATCATTTGCTTTTGCTCTCCAAGGAACATGGCTGTTTAACTTCCATTATCCTGAAGCTGATAACTTTCCCCAACTCATAGTAATATGAAATCACAGACCCATTTTCAGATGTTCTGCGTGTCCAGAGCTTTTGCACTGGGGTAAAACAAACTAATAGCTGGCTTGTTCCCTCCAGCTTTCAGGTAGCCGGTGTCCGTGAGATGGTGGGATGCATTCAGAGACGAGTGGATCATCTGACTGAACAATGTTCTGCACACAAGGAACTTGCTCTTAAGAAACAGCAGTTAACAGCATCGGTGGAGGACTGCCTAAGGAAGGTAGTTCCATAAAATGACATGAAAACATCTGCTTTGGTGCTTCTACGTGGGATGATGTGTTCTCTAAGGCTTCTCTGATATTTCACCTTAGATCCAATAATCAAGCTAAATAGAGCTGAAATATGCCATAGCTCATCCACCATCCCTGCTCCTGGTTGTCAAAAATGGGTAGCCAGTGCTGTCTTCCCACTCTAGCCTGTGCACATACCATGTTCAAGAAGGCCATTCTCCATTTGTGTTGACTGCATCGAGTGTGTATTGGAAAGGATCCTTGATTTTGAAGGTCTTAAATGTGATCCCAACTGTGTGGCATTTTAGTTAATAAGTGCCATGCCACATGAGAACCGTGGCTACATAGAATACAGACACCCAAAAATGATACGTTAGTATTTTCTGTACATATGTTTGTGCTATACTGTTGCACTGTTTCCATTTTATTTTTTTGAAAAGTTATTGATTTTAATCAAAAGTCAAAATTAGATGGAGGGAGGAGGAAGAGGGAAGAGAGAGAGAGATTTTCTGTTCACTGATTCACTCCTCCTCCCACCCCATATGTGAATATAGGAATGTTAGTGAATGGGGGTTGGATGGGGGGAATGGGGTAGGAATAGGAGGGGGATAAATGGGGGGGGGATGGTGGAAATGGAAAGGGGGAATAATGAAGAAGAAGGGTAGATGGAATGGTTAAGGGTTAATTGGGGGTTTGGGTGATGAGGGGGTGGGTTGTTAATGTTAAAATTGGGGGGTGGAATGGGATGATGGTGAAGGGGGGTGGGTTAAGTGTAGGTGTAGTGGTTTGGTGGTTGATAGGATATTGTTTTGGGGGATGGGGTTTGTGTTTGGATTTTTGTGGGTTTTGGTGGGGTTGGGTTTGGTGAGTGTTGTTTTGGGGTTATGTGGGGGAAGGAGTGTGTATGGGTGGATGTATATGTGGGTTACAGGTGTTTAGTTTTAGGGGGTTATGTGAGGGAGAGGTTTGGGGGGTTTGGTGATGGTGTTTTGGTGGAATGGAGGGAATTGGATTGGGTGTGGGGAGGAGTGAAGTAAGGTTGAGGTGTGTGTGGGGTAGTTTGTGAGGGTTAGTTTGTGAATTTGGTTGGGTTTGTTTCGGTTTGTTGGTGATGTTGGTGGTGGGGGGTGGTGTTGTTGGGGTTATGGATGTGAGGGTTTATGTTGTAAGTGGGGAGAAGGGGGGGGTATGGGATTTGTGTTATTTTATTTGTGGTGGGTTATTTAGATGGTGGTTGGGGGGAAGTTTGGTGGGTGTGGTATAGGGGTGGAATGGGTGAAGATGGATTGGAATTGAGTGGTTGGAGAGGGGGGGGGGAGTGGAAGGGAAGGTGGGTATTGGAAAGGGGTGGGAATGTTATGTAGTTGGAGGAGGGGTTTAAGGGTGGGGTGGGATTGGGTTGGGGGATTTATGTTTTGATAGAAGGTTGATTTGGGTGGTGATATGGTGATTGTTGGATTGTTTTTGTGTGAAGGGATGGATATAAAGTGGGGAAGAAGATATAGGTGATATTAGAGTGAGAAGGAAGTAAAGGGATATGGAAATGGGGGGTTTGTGGAGGGAATGATTAGAATATAATGATAGGATATAAAAGGAATGAAGTGATGGGGAATGTTAGGGGGGGTTTTTGGGAGGGAAAGAGGGAAATGGGGGATGGTTGGGAAAGGTAAGAGTGGGAAATGTGATTTTAAAGGGGGGATTTGATTGGCAATAGGTTTTAGGTGATGAATGGAATGTTTTGTGGTATGTGGGGGTTTTGATGGAGTGGTTTTTGGAGAGTATAGGCTGTAAGCCTGAAACAATTTTGCCAGGTCTGTGTGTACTGTTGTTTATTAATGTTAGAAGTGGAGAGGAGATTGGATTGCATGGAGGAAAATCCCCCACTCCTGCTCCTCTCCTTGCCAGAGTGCTATCATGCAGCAGGGCTTGTAAATTGAAATTGCAGCTTCACTCCATGACACACCTGGGAAGCATATTAAACACAGAGCAGTAATCCCCCCCCCCCCAATCTTTAACTGAGAGAGAGAGATGCTCTCTTCTTTTCTTTAGTATGTGCTTGATTACTAGCTTTGTATCCCATGGAATTTTGCACAGCCCTTTCTGTGGCAATTATCTCCTCGCGTGCTGCTTATCAATGTGGTTTTTACCTCCGCTAGATGCATCCCTTGGTGGTCCGATCATCGTGTGAACACCACATGTACTTATATGATTATGGGGGTGTGGCTGATGAATCAGTGGATACTCTTGATGCAGTCAGTAGACAGTCAACCCAGGGTGTATGTGGCTTCTCCCAGTGTAACAGGGTGTACTGTTTCGTAGTCAACCTTTTCTATAGGCATAAGAAGTGTACTCTAAATGAAACAATGATACAAGATGTGGTGGAGCAAATCCATTAAGCCAGCAGTGTCATCATTTTGTTGTTATCAAGTATTAGGTGTGCTATATAAATATGCAAACAACACAAAAAAATTGCTTACAGCAGCATCATGAGCAACACACAGGTAAAGTGCTGTGCTACAGATTGAGATGATGGGACATTCGGGTGCCTGTGATGTCAGTAGGCAAAAATAATGTTTCAGCTCCATTATAATCTTGTGGGACTACCATTGTATATGCAGTCAATAAAAAGGTTGTTCTGTGCTGCTGGCCTGCATCTATGAGATGTCTGTAACGCCTACTCCTCCAGATGGTCAGTGGTTAGTTTACTAACAGATACTACACTCCAAAGAAAACTAAGGAGAGCAATCTTAAACAGTGCAGATTCAATGAGCTTCAGATTGTCTATCCCTGATAGGTAACCTTTTCCTTACACCTGTTTTGAAACCATTTCAGGCAGAGACTTAAAATAAGACCACATAATGATTATGTCTGAATTTTTTGTAAATTAAAAATGGATGAACAAATTTTGTAAGTTTACCTTGTCTTGTAAAACAAAATTATTTTAGGAATTTGCTAGAGCTGTTGTTAAACTTCCTAAGACAATTCTTATAATTATTTAAATTATTTCAAATGTTCCTGCCAATTACATTCCTTCATGCAACTTTTCAAACTTTCTTCTATTGGAATAGAGACAATGGTATGATCTAAATAAGAATTGTAACTGATAGAGCAGGGAAAAATTAATAATTTTAGTGGTTTCCATTTTGAAATGACTCCTCTCTTTTCAGAATTTTGAAAGTTATGCCTTTGTTTTATTAAGGAAATTCTTAGTACAAGTTCAATGAATAGTTCTAATAGATGGAGGTGTGGAAGGGTAATGAAATGTGAATGTTCATGAATATCCTTTCAGAGTCTGACCTCTGGTGCTTTGCTTCCATAGGAGACATCACATGAATTAGAAACAGCTTTAAAAATGATGACAGACAAAAATGAATTTGAACTTGATGGAATGGCTTCACTTTCTTCTAAAGCTAATTGGCTAAAGGAAGAATTACACATATTCAGTCAAAGCATTGTCTTCAGGTCACAACTCCTGCAAGCATATGTGACATTCCTTAAGTCATCAAAGGAGGTACAGTAGTATGTGTTGACATTCCACAAGGTGGCCTCTGCATATCTTTTTGCTTTTGGGGGAAACTGTAAGCTTAGATATGGAGTTAGTAATATACTCATTTACAGCACATTCATTCAAGACTTAGAATGAATAATAATATGTATGTGTGGATAAACACATGTACCAATAAAGGCTTTGTATGGGAATATTTCTTTTGATGTACTACCAATATTTATAACATCTTAAACACAGAACATGATTATTTGATAAGGGACTTTCTTTATTTTTTTTAAGATTTATTTTATTTTTATTGGAAAGGCGGATATACAGAGGAGAGACAGATAGGAAGATCTTCCGTCCAATGATTCACTCCCCAAGTGAGCGCAACAGCTGATGCTATGCCGGTCCGAAGCCAGGAGCCTCTTCCGGGTCTCCCACACGGGTGCAGGGTCCCAAAGCTTTGGGCAGTCCTCAACTGCTTTCCCGGGCCACAGGCAGGGAGCTGGGTGGGAAGCGGGGCTGCCGGGAATAGAACAGCGCCCATATGGGATCTCGGGCGTGCAAGGCGAGGACCTTAACCACTGCACCACCGTGCCGGGCCCGATAAGGGACTTTGTAAACCACGAATTGAGTTGAACACCTAAGCCACTAATGTGGTTCATTTAAGATATAGAGATCTGGGCCCAGCATGATCACCTAGTGACTAAAAGTCCTCACCTTGCATGCACCAGGGGCACCAGTTCATGTCCTGGCTGCCCCACTTCCCATCCAGCTCTCTACTTGTGACCTGGGACAGCAGTAGAGGATTCCCCAAAGCCTTGGGACCCCATTGTGGCCACCTGGGGAGTGAATCAGCAGATGGAAGATCTTTCTCTCTGTCTCTTCTCTCTGTGAATCTGAATTTTCAATAAAAGTAAATAAATCTTCAAAAGTAAAATACAAGGTATACGGATCTGCAATTTACAGGTTATTAGGTCTAGTTTATCATCTGTCTTGTTTGATGTCTTTTACGAAGTTACTTGTCAGCACTTCTGAGGTTTTATTGGACAGATTTCTACCAGAGGATTCCATCTCTCAAAGGTCACAGTTTGTTGAAGGTGGCACTAATAGTAAAGCTCTCAGGACCTGCATCATTTAGCCCTGGGCTCAGATCTCTGTGTAAAGGCACCCCTTTTCCTGTGAGAGAGACAGGTACTAGCCTAGTGAGAGTCAGCAAAGACCATTAAAGTTAACCAAAGTTAGATAATGCAATCAAACTCCATTTCTCAGTCCCCACCGACCTCTTGCTGCAAACAGTTGCCATCCTGCCTGTGACCATGCCTTCTGTCTGATCAGAGTACTCTGAATCCTTACCACTGTGGAGGAAGCCCAGGTCCCATGCCTGGAAACCCCGGGTAACCACTGCCTGCTTTGTGATTCTTTACTTGACCACTTGGCATTTCTGACTTCCTTTAAGTTCTTGCCTTCAATTTTCATAGTTCCAGAGATATTACAACCACTGAAATTCTCCCATAGATGAAATGTAGAAAAGCTACAGAGTGCCTGCTTTCCACACATACTTAGCAGGTATGTGCCCACTTGGAGCTGCTTTAAGCATCCATTTCACTGGCCCGCTCTGGCCTCGAGGACTGCAGCCTCCACTTGGCAAACTCTGTTCACTCAGAGGAACTTCATGTCCTTTGGCTAACATGCTTTCAGTAAATCTGTCTTCCTGCCTGGCAGAGTCTTCTGTCCTAACTGTGGTGATGCTCCCAAGCTGTGCATCGTCCCTTCCCTCCAGCATTCTCTTTCCCTGCACCGGATGGCTGCTTCTCATTTCCATCCTCTCAGCTCCCTTCCTTTCCCCTGCTAATTCTGCCAATTCCTGATATTCAGTCAGTCCAGCCCTCTGTTTACTCAGCTTTGTCCAAGCTTCCAGACACTGCTGTGGAACGTCACACTTGGGCTGAGTGGTGCTGCTACTGTGTATGGTCTCTGCTTCAGCTAGGTTCCCCATATGTTCCCTAATTGGCTCAATTTATTAGTTATCCTCAAACATCTCATCCCAGTTTCCATCCCCAAATCTCAGCCAATGTCCCTTACTTCATACACAACTGGGAAAAAAAAATGTAACCACTGCCTTGACTTCCTTCTGCCTCCAAACTGATAGATAAAGTCATCCCTCCTGACTGATGAAGAGAAGTTCTTACTCCTACCCAACATTAATCACATATTAATTAGTCCCACCTTGTTTTTCTGCTGTTACATCCTGTGGAATTTAGCTCCAGCAATTATCCTCTAATTTTTCAGACTTGCCTTTTTTGTGGCTTCTTTGCCATCTGCGTATTAACAAATGCAATGATAAATGTTCAGTCTTTATCTTGGTTAATCTCTGCATTTTAAAAAAAAAGCTTTATTTTTTACTGGAAAGCAGATATACAGGGAGGAGAGAGAGAAAGATACTCCATCTACTGGTTCATTCTCCATATGGTTGTAATGGTCAGAGCTGAGCTAAACCAAAGCCAGGAGCTTCTTTCAGGTCTCTCATGTGGGCACAGGGTCCCAAAGCTTTGGGAAATTCTATCCTGCTTTCCTAGGCCATAAGCTGAGAGCTGGATGGAAAGTGGAGCATCCAGGACACCAACCAATGCCCACAGGGGATCTTGGCACATTGCAAGGCAAGGATTTAGCTGCTAGGCTATCATACTGGGCCCCATTTCTGCAGTTTTTACTTAGTCCAACTATCTACTCCAATTTTTTTTTAGGCAAATTTATTGAGGTGTGGTTTACATAGCATAAAACTTACCTACTGTATAGTGCAACAATTTTTAGCATATTTATTCTGTGTTGTGCTACTGTTCTAATACCAATTTTAACATATGCCCATCATACCCCAAATATCTTTAGTGCACATTTTGAGTCTGTATTTCTTCAAACTTTCAGTCTCAGGCAAGCATTCATTCACCTTCTGTGTCTATAGGTTTGCCTCTTTTTGAGTATTTCAAGTGCAGGCCTCCTGATTTCTTCTTTTTGGATTACAAAGAAGTACAAAGAGAATAGATCTGATCTGTGTCCTCTCTTTTGTACATTTTACACATTTTCCTGATAAAAAATTATGCCACTTCTGTAATTTTAATCAGAAACCCAAACGTGATTCCTCAGTCCAAACTCTCCGAGCTGCAAACCAGTGCTTTTAGTTAGCTGTTTCTCCTGTAGATTCTTTGAAGTCAACAAAACACAAGTAGCATCTACTCCTCAAATGCTTTTACTTCTGTATTTGCCATTGGGTTAGTGGCTGCACCATATTTTTGGAAGTTCTGCAAAATGCTTTAATGTCTCTTAAAATCGGCCCCTCAGAGAACAATTATTCTGTGCCAAGAACAAGCACTTCTCACTCTTGGTTTAATCTAATGGTTTTTTGCAATTTTTTCTCCAGAAAGCCTTTGTTGATGTATTTGAAAGCTGGAGAGAGAGAGAGAGAGAGAGAGAGAGAGAGAGAGAGAAATTGATTGATTGGTTGATTGATTGATTGATTGATTGATTCCACCCTCTGGTTACTTCCCAAATGCTTGAAACAGCCTTGGTTGGCCAGGCTTTCTTCACGCTCTGTGGAACTCCACAAGAGATGCGGGAACTCAAATACTTGAGCCATCATTTACTTCTTCCCAAGTGCATTGCTAGAGAACTGAGCTGGAAGCAGAGGAGCCACGACTTGGACCAACATGTGAATGTAAAGTGTGGCTATCCCAAGCTGGGACTTAGCTCACAGTGTCACATTCTTCATTTAATCTCCATATCTGTTTCATGCACTAGTATTCTTAGTTTACAAATGAGAGAACAGGTGCTTTGAAAATGTAGGTACATAAGAACAAATAGTTAATAAACATCAAAGCTGGGCCCGGCACGGTGGCGCAAGTGGTTAAAGGTCCTCGCCTTGCACGCCCGGGATCCCATATGGGCGCCGGTTCTAATCACGGCAGCCCTGCTTCCCTTCCAGCTCCCTGCCCGTGGCCCGGGAAGGCAGTCGAGGACGGCCCAAGGCTTTGGGACCCTGCACCCACTTGGGAGACCCGGAAGAGGCTCCTGGCTTCGGCTCGGCATAGTATCGGCCCGTTGCGCTCACTTGGGGAGTGAATCATCGGACGGAAGATCTTCCTCTCTGTCTCTCCTCTCTGTATATCCGCCTTTCCAATAAAAAAATAATAAAAATAAATCTTTAAAAAAAATAAATAAATAAATAAAAATAAACATCAAAGCTGAATTTTGATCACCAGTTCCCTCCCTTTCTGGTTTCCTATTTTTGTCTATTGAACAAACTTGAACTACTTCTGAACTTCCCTTCCTCTGTGTCTACGCCATTACTTTCTTGGTGCAGGTTGTCATTTCTGACCCCATTTACTACAGCATCTTCTGCCTATGTGCCTCATAATTCTCCCTTTCACTATTCTGTTGTGGGTGTGTGTGTGGCAAACAAAGGGCTAACCTTAATGTAAATCTTCATGTTACCTCTTGAAATTCAGATCATTTTATACTTGTAGTAAGTGAAGCAGATGACAAGGAACTTTTAGCAGAAATGAATAAAATATTAACGTTTAATTCTCTGAATACAGTAATCCAGATTCAAATGAATTCTTATAGTGGCATCATTCTCATTTGCATTTGAGTAAGCTTTTCAAAGAGTTGGAAAAGAAAGGTGAATTAAAGTGTATGGATTTTCCTTTTAAGATGAAAGACTTGCAGATAACTGCCTGCCCACCACACTGACATCCAGACTGTGGAACATGACCCTTTTGAAGCCCTGATGATTGTCATGCTGCTTCTGACTCCTCATGGGAGCTATCAATCTCTTCCGACTAATGACTATGCGTCACAATCATGCTAATTACAGTGAAAGGCACAGTGAAGTCTGCTGACCAGCCTTAATCCTGCACAATTATCCCCCTAACTTTTTTTGTTTTGCTACTACTCAGCTTGTGCAACCTACACTTCAGCCACAGTAGAGTCATTTATGGTGCCCTGAATCAGCCAAGATTTTCACCTTAATGTCTTTACACTGCTGCTCCTGTTCCTCTGGAGTCCTACTCCACTCCCTCTCCCACGGACAGGCCTTCAAGCCACAGGGTACACATCGTTTCCTGTGGGAAGCCTCCCTCCTGTCTCCATCTGTAGTTGCATGGTGTGCCCATGCACTATGTGCATAGTATTCACTGTGGTATAGTATTTTTATGCTGTTTTTCTCATAGAACTATTTCTTAGAGAAATCAGTGATAAATTGTTTTCATTCCTTAAAACTTCATTAGTTATTAGAGAGAGAGAGAGCATGCATTCCTGTTCATTGCCACAGCAAGAGCTGGGCTAAGTAGAAGCTAGAAACCGGAGACTCAGTGCAAAGCTCCCACGTGAGTGACAGCAGCCCAAACTGTAGTGCAATCACCTCTGCTAGGGTCTGCATGAGCAGGTAGCTAAAAATCAGGAGCCAGAGACTGAACCGAGGCACTCCAGGCATCTTTGCTAGCATTTTAGTCACTAGAACAAATAGTCATCTCATTATTAGTTCTTGCTAGGAAATTTTAAGAGGTTCCAGTGGAGAAGATGGTTTTTAGCCAGTTCAAGAAGGATAAACAGGAGAAGGAAACCGAGGAAGGCTCATCCTGGCTCTGAGAAGCCAAAAATCAGCACAGCAGAGGCTGGAATAGATGGAATGTGGAAATGAGAAGAGAACTGCTGCGGGAGGTGGCTTGCAGACTCTCCGTGAAGCTTATCTAAATTAAGAATGATATGAACTTCTTAGAACTGTAACTGTGGAACACTTGACATCTGTTCTCTTCATATTAATACATTTTAGAAAGAAGGATATTAAAATTTTGAAGTTTGATAATTATTGCTGACAATGTCTGTCTGTTTAGAGTACTTTTGGCCATTAGGAACTGAGTCTTGCCGCATCAGCCATTAAAACGTCCAAACTGTGTAACCATTTGTGTCAAATGATTTGTAGCATATCTACGTCACCTATTTATGCATTAATGTATAGTTTTATTGACTTACTTGATATTGTACTAACTCTCCTCAAGGATTAAAATAATCTAGTACTACTTGCATTGGAAATAAAGGGAGAAAATAGAATTATAAGCTCATGGGGGCAGTTTAATATTTATGAAGAAAATTAGTATTTATACTCACTTGGATTTATCTTTTATTAGGAATAAATTGTGTTGTGCACGTTGCAAGTAGTCTTTCATCGACTTATATTTCTTCATGAATTGCATTTCTTGAGCTTGAAATTGTAATGCAATTTATGAACAATTGAACAATTTTGAAATCCATGCAGTTTTCTCAATAATATACATTTCCATAGACTTTTTGAATACCCCATTCATAAATTTTTAGATGTTTTTCTACACACACAGATATATCTTTGAGTCTCATTTTCCATAAAATTTTTGAAGTACCCTCATATGTAGCTTTTGAATGATAAAACTGTGCTTTAAATGGAACTATTGTTCTTTAACATAAATTGTTCCACATTATAGCATGTAATACATAAATATGATCAGAATAATAAATTATTCCTATGGATAATAAACTTACCAGTTCAGTTTACTACCCAGTGGTAATCCTGTCAATAATCTAAATAGATTTTTATGTCTTTTGAATAAGTTGATAGTGTTCAATAGTTATGTAGAGAATTCTGAAAATGTATTTTTCAGTGACTTTTATATGGACCTTTTATTGATATTTAGTATTGTTTTTTCTATAAAAATGTTTTGTGTTTTTAACTCTCATTTTCTTTATTTGTTTAGGTGGAGGAACAGTTTCAGAGCCTAAAGGAGTTTTATCAGACTGAAATGCCTCAAAAGGAAGAAGATGATGTTAACGCAAAAAACTGGTCTGAAAAGCAGTGGCAGCTATTCTTAAAGAAGAGCTTTTTCACCCAAGACCTGGGGCTTGAGTTCCTTAACTTAATAAATATGGTGAGAATGACTTTAAATGAATCACAGCTTCTGCAAGGATTAACCATCAAAGTCACAGCTATAAATTCAAAAGTCAACTGTATTAATTGGTAGTTGGCTTAAGAAGTTCATTTTAATTTGATTTAACCTAGCCCAGTGCTTAGGGCCAGCTTTTGTATGCTAACTAGCAGGTCACATCCTCTTTGGCTTATAACATGAAGGCTAATTTCACTGTTAAGAAAGAACTGGCATAATTCAAACTCAAAATTGTTATTACACAGTCCTCAAAGTCCTCTTAAGAGTTCTGAATTGAAAACAGGCAACAAGGCCTTTGGAAACTTTCCAGTGGTTTAAAACAACTTGTAACATATATCCTATAAAATATCCAAAAATTGTCAGATCTTCTGACACATACAAAATTATCCTGTAGATTTTTTTTTTTAAAAAGATGGTGAATCTGCTTTTTTGTTATACCTCAATTATCTTCCTAGTGAACTGGTCATATTGTTATTGGGAAATACCAGGTACTAGAAATTTTTAAAAGATTTTTTAAAATTTGAAAACGGATTTCTAGGGCCCGGCGCGGTGGCGCAAGTGGTTAAAGGTCCTCGCCTAGCACGCCCGGGATCCCATATGGGCGCCGGTTCTAATCCCGGCAGCCCCGCTTCCCTTCCAGCTCCCTGCCTGTGGCCTGGGAAAGCAGTCGAGGACGGCCCAAAGCTTTGGGAACCTGCACCCACTTGGGAGACCCGGAAGAGGCTCCTGGCTTCGGACCGGCATAGTATCGGCCCGTTGCGCTCACTTGGGGAGTGAATCATCGGACGGAAGATCTTCCTCTCTGTCTCTCCTCTCTGTATATCTGCCTTTCCAATGAAAAAATAATAAAAAATAAATCTTTAAAAAAAAAAGAAAACGGATTTCTAGAGAGGAGGAGGGATAGACAGAGGGAGAAATCTTCCATCCGCTAGCAACTGCCAGAGCTGATCTGATCTGATCCAATCTGATCTGAAGCTGGGAGCTGGTTACAGGGAGCTTCTTTCTGACCAGCTGTGTGGGTGCAGCGCCCCACGGCCTTGGGCTATCCTCCCATGCTATTGCAGACCATAAGCAGAGAGCTAGCTCAGAAGTGGTGCAGCCAGCACATGAACTGGCCCCTATATGGGATGCCAATGCTTATAGACAGAGGAATAGCTTGCTAACATAATCATGTCGTCTCCTTGGAAATGTTCTTTTGTTAAATAAATCTGTCATCTTATCTAGTCCTGACAAGCTACTCAGGGACATGAAAACATATTTATTTGATTTCTCTTACACATGCACTGCCTCCCAGTACTCAAACGAGTTGCTCTGTGTAGTATGAGTCTTTTCTGTAGCTAAGCACGTACGTATCTCCATTTTTTTATGAGGTAGCCTAATTTCTGTCTCCATCCTGTTTCATCACATTATAGGATTTTTCCATGGTTTATCAAAATCTTTCATAAAACATAGCCAAAATTTTAAAATATATATATTTTAAATACAAAGTATGAGAGGAAGAGGAGGATGAAGGAGAGTGAGACAGAGAAAAAGAAAAAGGGGAGTCTTTCACCCACTGTTTCATGAATTCCTCAAGTATCTGCAATGGCTGGAGTAGTATAGCCTGAAGCCAGAAGCCTGGAACACTGCTCTGGTCTCCTATGAGGGTGGCAGGGATCCACGCATTTGTGCCATCATCCTACGTTTTCCAAGGCACATTAATAGAACAGCTAGAACTTGAATTAGTAGTCAAATATGGAATTCTAGTGTCAAAAGTCATGACTTACTGTGCCACAGCACCAGTCTCAGGTTATGTTAGCACTTTTAGCAATACTTTCACCTAGCTAGTTCATGTTAAGCTAATGAGTGAGTGAAGCTTACATTGCCTTTTTATTGCCACTGCTTTCCAACCAGGTATCCCCATATTACGTGTGTGTCAGCTAGTCACATTTTTCATGCAATGTTAATCTTTATATTTATTATCATTTAATTTTGTTGTGTTGGTCTTCACCCATGATTCAATTTTCTTAAACCAATTTGTGTTAGATATTTTGTTAAGCTCCCCTGGGTTTAATTCTGTAGATTTGACAAAGCAGGTCCTCTGTGGCAGCAATTAATTCTTCAGTAAAACTGCCTAATGGGAAGATTGATATTCCAATGCATGAAGCAATCTACTGAATAACCAGTTTTTTAAACAATCAAGTATGCTCCCAGTAGTAATTTAATTCAACTACCACTTCAGAATCTTTCAAAATTTGTAATTGGAGGCTTTTACCAGTAAGTTGCTCAGGGCATTTCTACCTACCTGGTCCCCAATCAGTTACATAAGTGTATTTGGTTAGGTTGACTCCTACTGATGAAACCATTCTCTCCAAAATACTTACAAAGTGTTTTATACGTTTATTGCACTGGTTTTCAACATGAAATTAGCCAATATGTAAATTACATAACCATTCTTGCTCCCCTTTCAGAAATCATTTAAAAGCTTTATCCTTTTTCTAATTTTCTGTCCTTCCACCAAGTGTAGAGCATAAAAGGTAACTGGTATTTGCAATTTTCTTGGTACCCTGGGAAGCAGTTAGTCTGTCTGGAACCTGAATTCATTTGGAGGAGTTAAATCCTAACCACCTATAACTATTTCTTTATTTTCTTTGCTTAGCCTTTTGCTATTTGAAGGCAATTCTTAAGTACAACAGATATTAAACACTTTTAATTTTGCTAATTCTATTCTTAAGCATCAGGTAAAATTTATTAATCATTTTACTCATGTTTTTATATCACACTGATGCTTTACTATAAAAAAGTCAAGTTATTTTTCATTGGAACATTTAAAACACAAACTTCTCTGTCATCTACTATCTATTGCTTAACATTTTTATCTAAGAATATCTTTTATCTCTTGACTATGCAGTTTGTACCTTTATTAGAGAAGTGAAAGGTTTACAGAATTGCATTTTTGTTCTGTCCTCTTTGTTACTTTAATGCAGAAATTCCATTTTTCACTTCTTAAATTTTCAGTTGGCTTTTCCTTCATTAGCTTTTAACTGCTGATAAAATTCCTTGTCCTCTTTTCTGCATCTTTCCTACACTTTCTGCAAACGTACTTACTGGCAGGTGTTCAAAGTGCTTTTCAGCATTTGGAGAGGGAGCTGTTTCTGTTGTCTGTTTTCTCATGATTTTTAGGCACATAGTCCTGTCTTTGGGCAGGACTAGTGAATATGATAACATGCCAGGCTTCTGTCTATAAAAAAGAGTTGCAGAGGGCCCTAGATGGTGCTATCTTTTAGAAAAGAGCAGCCTTCTTTCTCCAAGGAGGTGCAGGTTGGAGACAAGGCAGCCAGAAAATGGTCAAGTAGGTCTCAATCAGGTCGGTTTACCTTGGGCTCTCTGAGTTTTCATCTGAGAATTTTTGTCTTCGGAATCTCTCTCTGACAGGTGCCTAACTCAGATCATTGTTTTAAGAGGTTAAAACAATGTGAAAAAGCTCCATTCTGCTGTATGGAGACTTTTTTTTTTCCTTAGTATTTTTAATCCATTGCTGCATGTAGCCCATGTTATTGCCACTAAGCTTAGAAGATCATCTGTGAGTTGCCTGCCTTTTCAGGGAAGCCTAGTTTTGAGCCTCCTGTCAGTGCACTGATTTAGGAAATGCCTGAGGGAAAGTGGTGATGGTGAGCTCTCCATTTTTCCCCACCCTGGGGTCTTAGCCGCTCTAGTTTGTGTTGTAGCAGCTATCTGCATCCTTCAAATGGCTGCTGTCACTGCTGCTCTGGCTTTTCTAGTTGTTCTAAGCAGAAGCACTGCTCTGCCACAACTACTCCATCACTCCTGCAAGCACTATTACTCAGGTGGGATGTTTAAGAGTATGCAAGAAGATTTTCAGAGGTTTTAAAAAAACTTTATTTTTATTGAAAAGTCAGATTTACAAAGAGAAGGTGACACAGAAAGAAAGATTTTCCATCCTCTGGCTCACTCCCCAAGTGGCCACAATGACCAGAGCTGAGCCAATCCGAAGCCAGCACCCAGGAGCTTCTTCTGGGTCTCCCACGTGGGTGCAGTGTCCCAAGGGTTCGAGCTGTCCTCGACTGTCTCCCAGGCCATAAGCAGGGAGCATCCAGGAAATGAACTGGCGCCCATATATGTGATCCAGGTGCATGCAAGGCAAGGATTTTAGCCACTCTGCTACCACGCCAGGCTTGATTTTCAGTTTTTAAATATCTATATCAGGAACCCACTGAAAATCATATTGTGTATCTACGTATAAGTAAGAATCATGTGTGTTCTGTTTCTATACTTTGATGGTCTTTCAGCTCAATATCAAAACATGGTCACCTTAATTCAAGGTCATTTCTGATGTCATGTATCAGTCTCTTCTGATAGATTATAATTGAAGCCCACCTGAGAGTTAGCTTTGTTGGTTTGGTGACATCTGATAAAGCAAGTAAAACACATTTGTATTCTCTGCATATTTTGGCGACCATCAGGCTATTGAACATTCTGTGGGAACGCAGTAATGAGTAATGAGTTTGTTAGGAAGGAAGAGGCCAGCTGGCAAGTGCACTTGAGTGTTCCACTCTTGGTTGGGTTGCCACAGCTCCTATTTTCAAGTTTGAAATTTAAAGTTTTTTTTCATTTTGTTGAAAAATCATCAAGATTAGAGAGAGTGATTCTAGCTATGCTTCAGGCAGCCATCCCTGATAAAGTGTCAATTTATTAACTTAGGGTAGTGAATACTAAGCATGCTGTTTGCTATTCAGATTTCGTGTTGTCAAGGCACCTGGAAAGACATCAAAAAATCATCCACTGTGCATGAATCTAAGTGGGAAATGGATAGTTTAGTGGCCCATTTAGATTGGATCGGGCCAAATTTTCCATGCCTTATGCAGAAGTAAATGAATATTGTGCTTACTAACTAGACTTCAGGCAAATTATTTAATCTTTCAGAGTGGCTACAATACTTCAGTCTGCCAAATACATGATCACTTTTCTTAGTGCTTGCTAGCTGGACATCAACAAATCCTGCTGTAGCTGTCCCTTTTGTGGACATTGCTCTGACTGCCATATCCTTCTTGAAGTTGTGATTAGCATACTGCAATTTCCAAGTTGATGTTGTTTTGTAGTATATTTTATTTTGGGTAATAGTTTCTTAATATGTGACTTTATATGGGAAAGGTAACTTTAGAAAAGATAAAATACATGATTTGAGGTGAGTCCTGGTGTATTTATTGGATATGTTTCATAATTCATTAAATCCTGTTAATCCCAATTGTAGAATGTATCATTTTATTACTAGCTTTACAATTTTGTTCTGTTCTGGGAATGAGTCAGATACTTTGTGATGTCTAGTCTAGAACTGACTAAAATATAAATGTACAAAAATATTTCAAATAACTTGAAATAGGGTATCCAATATCTAAAATACGTCCATGAAACACTTATAGCTTTTATTAGCTGTCATTAAAGTTATAGAACTCTGTAATAAATTTGAGAACTTGCTGAGAAAGATGGCCATCAAAATATAATTTTTGATACCCTCTAATAAAAAAATGCTTTTTACAGATATGAAACACTTTACCACTATGTTCTTTTAGGCTATTTTATCTCCATTGAATTTTCGTTGCTTAAAACCATTGTTGAAAGGCTTTCTAACCAGTCAGACAGAATATATGAAAGTTGAGGCCTGACACTTCTGAGTTTAGCTGTTGTGCTTCTGGTACTCAACAGAGTGCCTGAAAAAACAAACACATAGTTCAGATGTCATAAAATGGAGGAGTTTGAGGAAAAGCAAGAAAAATTCAAATTAATTGTAAAAGACAATGTATTTGCAGTTTAAGGGTAAAATTGTTCTAGAACAAATGATTCTGCCTGTTGCTTTATACTGAGCTTCTAATATATATACTACTAAGTGTGTTAAATTGTAGAAAAGACTTCAAAATTCATGCACTCAAAAAGAATCTTCAAACTTTTCAAATCCCAGTATTCATTAAATTACCTTCCAACCACACAATATGACCAGACCCTAGATGGGAATGCGAACACAACTCATGATAGGATGTCCCAGTATGGGAAGCAGGTGCCGAGAGTCTAACTCTGCCTGTGTCCAGGGGATTTAGACCTGCCTACATATCAGAACAATGCTCCTCTTTGGTCATGATGAAGTTTATGTCTCCTAAAATGGGTATATGCAAAATTATTGTTTGGGAAGAAAAGTCATTGTATGGGTTATTAATTTGACAGGCAAAAGAGAATGAGATATTAAACATGAAACAGGAAATAAACATCATGGAGAACACTATCGGAAACCAAAAGGCAAGAAGAGAAGAGCTGAGTCATCATCGGATGGCATGGCAACGGAAGGCCACTGAAAGCAAGCCTTTGAAACAGCAGTGGGGGGCTTTGAAAGAGAAGCTTAAAAAGGTAAGGGCGGTTCAGCATTGTCTCCTATACTTGTATCTACTGAAAATTGTATGTCTTGTGAGAAATACAAATTCAAGTTTTGCCTGCTTTTAGTTGTATTTGTTTTCCTTGCTATTCAGTTGAATCCTTATAGTTTTTTTTTTTCAAAGTCATTTGTTTGTTTTAAACTCAAAGTTACAACAGATAGGGGAAACAAGGAGACAGAAAGACCTTCCATCCTCTAGTTCATTCCCCAGATTGCCAGGATAGCCAATTCTGGACAAGGACAAAGCCAGGGGCCACGAGCTTTATCTGGGTCTCCCACTGAGATGTCAAGAACCCAGACATCATTAGGGAGCTTGATGAAAGTGTAGCAGGCAGAACATGAGCCAGTGCCCATGTGGGATGCCAGCATTGCAAGCTGGTGTGCCACAACAGTGAATCCAGGCTTATGAGTTAAGGAAATGAACCACTTCTCAAATGTGCAGCTTATAAACATTTTATCCACTCTTATAGTTTGCTTAGCTCTCTGTTCTGTAGAAAGGTTGTTTCCTTTGTGCAGAAGCAATTGAGTTGGATACAATCCCAGTTGTCAAGTTTTAATTTTGTATCTTGTACTTTTGGAGTCATATCCAAAATATCCAAGACCAATGTCCTGAAGTGCTTCCCATGTGTTTTGTTCTATGGATTTCATATCTTATGGTCATGGTTTTCACTCATAATAGAGATACTACATAAGCTCAGTCATGTGGGATCTGAGCAGGTAGATCTCATAGAAGCTTAGGGTATTGGTTATGAGATGCTGATGAGAGCAGAGGGTCAGAAGGTTTAAGGCGAGTTTGGTGGATGGGTATGGTGGTATAGTTAAACAGGAGGAACAGGTTCTAATATTTCCTTGAGGAATAGGGTAACTAGAGTTAACAAGAATGTGTTGTGTATCTAAAAATAGCTAGAAAAGAAGGTTTTGAGCATCAAGAATAGAATAAGATGATAAATACTGCTAATTTGATAGGCAGTATAAATATGAAACATTACATTGTGTCTAATAAATATATATATAATGGTTATGTGTCAAGATAATTAGGACAAAAATATAAGGTAATGGAATATACAATGGAATATTATTTAACCTTCCAAAGGAATGAAATTCTGATACTTGCTACATGAATGAATCTTGAAAACATACCCAATAAAATAAGTTAGCCAAGGAAGGAAAATATTATGTGACTTTCCTAAAATAAGGTCCATATAGTCAAATGCATAGATACTGGAGACAATGGGGGTTGCTGCTTAAAGGGTCCAGTGTTTCTGTTTGAGCTTGTAAGAAGATTCTGGAAATGGAAGATGGTGTTGGTTGCATATTAATGTGAATGTGTCAAAATCGTTGTAGCTCATAATAAACGGTAAGGAAAAACACAAAAACTTGTGGCTTTATTCTTCAGTGAGTTAGAACCATGAGCTCGGATTAGTAGCATCTGCGTGAAATGTTGGATGGCCCTCAGTGCCATTGCTTGATGCTCATAACATTGACTTTTGGGATCAATGGAAATGCATGCATAATTGCCCACTCTTTATTCCAGACTGCACACAACCTAAAGCTCCTTGAGGAGGCACTTATGCCCGCGTCTGCACTTGACCTTGGAGGAAGCCTCCAGACCATTCTAGACTTACGACAAAAATGGAATGAGATGAAGCCTCAGTTCCAGGTAAACAGAAAAAAAAAAAAGGATGTGTTTGGATGAATAGAGAGAATGAACCATCCAGTGCTCTTACCAGAGTGAGGAATTTGTATTTCTTAAACAAAAACATTGCTTGTTGAAAAATCCACTGTAAAAATGTACTTTTCTTGCTGATTTTCTGCATTCTTTTGTGTTTAATGATATAGAAACATTCAGGTTATACAATGTTATACATTTTTGTCTTAGATTATCTGAATTTTAATTCTAGCTTAAGTTAGCATCATTAGCATATAATTGAATACAATTCTTTAACTGGGGTGTAAAAATGTGTTTTAAATTGAGACAGAACTTGTACAGGCAGCCCCAGCCCCAGAGGTTCTGTCCCCCTGGGTGCCTAATATCCCCATTGTAATGTCACATCCCTGTCTAGCACCCTAGGCTTCAAGCATCATTCCAAGAATTTTATTCCTCATTCACCCACTCAGAAAATCCTGAAAGCAATATGGAAAATCATACCATGAGTCACATTCCTGGTCTCTGCATAACACATTCCCTGTGTCCTACTTCCTGCCTTTCTTGAATGGCATACAGCTGTTAAGGACGTGTTGCCTGTCATACTATCAGCCAACCTAGATTCTCGATCTTTGCTGCGATATTCCGCAATATACCTGTGTTTCTAGCTGCTGCTATTTCTGAAGAGTTGGCCTTAAAGAATCTTAGAATCAATTAAGATAAGTATCCTATAAGGATACTCAATTCCTTTTATAGTTTCCTTTCCTTGAAAATAAAATTAACGAAGAAGACCACCACTACTCCTGCTACATACACACAGCCACCCACCCACTCATGATAATGTACAAGAAGAACTCAGAAAGTGACTCGCCTGCATTAGGTCCTTTGATAGGCCCTGCTTGGTCACATTTGGTTTGTCTGCATGTGTGAGTGAATGTGCCAAGTCCCTCTAACTCGGGAGCCATGATTGGGTTTAGTCAGCTCCATCACTGTATGTGTGCATGTTTCATTCCCCCATCTTTGACTTGAACTTGAGGAATCTTTTCAGATCACTTTTTTGGAAAAATTATCTCTTCAGTCTAAATAATTATCATTAGTTTAACCTTTTATATATAAGATTGATCCCTGAAATTGTAGCAGCACCCTATTAAAGTTTTCCACTCTTTTCAAGTTCCAATCCAAAATCTGGATTCCAAGAAGGGCTATCAGAGCAGGGCTGGGTCAAATGCCAGCGGTTTGATCCTTCTCCACATGTGGTAGCTATTTGTGGATGACGGGACGGCTGCCTTTGAGTCAGCCTATCTGCTGAGCTGCTCAGCTGATGGCTCATGCTGATCATTCCTTTGCCACAGAGTACAAGTAATTCCCATAATATATTTTTACACTTGCATTCTGCTACTGTTGATTTCCTACCACCCATTTCTAGACTAAATTAAATATCAGAGATGTTCACTGGACACCCTAAGGCATGCAAAATCTGTTTACTTAACAGATGACTGGAGTATTTGTATTCTTTGCATTTTAAAAAAAATATATCTATTTTCATTAGAAAGGCAGATGTTTTTATGGCTATAAGGACAGAGAGGAAAAATCTTCCATATGCTGGTTCAACTCTCCAAATGGCCGTAATGGGTGGTACTGAGCCAATCCAAAAGCCAGGAGCCAGAAGCTTCTTCCGAGTCTCTTACATGGTTGCAGGATCCCAAGGCCTTCAGCCATCCTCCACTGCTTTCCCAGGCAATAGGCAGGGAGCTGGATAGCAAATGGAGCAGCCACGACATGAACTGGTGCTCAAATGGGATCCTGGCACTTGATTAGCCAGTTGAGACATTGCCCAGCCCCAATGACTAGAATATTTGTTGTGATAAAGAAATATATGACTTCTCACTTAGCAAGTTACCTTGGAAAAAAACTTCCCCATTGCTTATTATTATTTTTAAATTTCTGAGCAGATAAGGATGCAAAAATATATTCCTAATATCAAACAAAATACCTGGAGTTGAGAGGTGGGAGCTGATAGTAAGTGTTTATTAACAAATGAGAATCATTTTTAGGTTGCATCTTCACAGTTGCAGTTGCAAAGAAAAGTTTTGCAAAAGCTGGACTTTTCTTGATTTTAATATTTTAGCAAATGAATGATGAAGTACACTACCTTATGAACGAATCAGAAGACCTGAGTGACCGAGGAGCCCCTGTGAGAGAGATGTCTCAACAACTGAAGGACCTTCTTCACCTGCATCAGAAACAGAAAGAGAGAATCCAAGATTATGAGCTTGTCCTGTACAAGGCAGTGCAGTTCCACCGAGTCAAGGAAAAGGTATATGGCTTACCATGGATGTCTGGGTTTTAATTCTGAAAGATTTTAAAAATTATTGTTTTGTTAAAAAAAACAGTCCAAATTCAGATACTAGTCATTGACACAATCCAACTTTTAATATACCCCATGTTGTACTTGTACTTTGTGTTCCAGTCAATGAGTTCTTTGTCCCTCCACGCCTAATTCCAAGTCCCAGGCTGCCATTACCCAACAGGCTTCTCCTCTCTCTGTTGTCTCTCAACAGTATTACTCACTTGAAGTGATTTACCCTTGTTTTGAAATTCCTAGAACTTTCATTGTTTATTTCATTATTTATTTCAAAGTAGTGAAATAAACACCACTTTGAGCATCTTGATCAGAATCATTTTTTTGAATTAGCATAGTTTTCTCCCTCCTTCCAAACAAGCCAAGTGTCAGCTCTTCAAGGCAGAAAGCAAGTCCAATGTGTCTGTATCTCAAGAATGTGACATCGTGGAGTGCTCAGGAAAGATGATTTGGTGGCTGATTTTATTACAAAAACATCATAATTATTAGCTTCTTTCAATATAGACTGGAAATGTATGGATATCCCTTCAAAATCACTTCTGGATTTTCTTAGGTCATGGTTCAAAGTCTTATTAAAGTTTTAGGCTAGGCCCTGAATAGTGTTTTCTTTATTAACAGAGCTGACATCGTTAGCTGCTCGATTTTACTCTATCGGATTTCTAGCACAGAAAAATGTATTAGGCTACAACATTAATAATTATGGATGAACTTATCAGCATTTTACCAGCTAGTAAAATGTTATTGAGATTCAGCTTTTTTTTTTTCTAAACTGTCTTTATATAAACTGCGGTTAATTGTCAATGCCCTAAATTCCAGCTAGGACATCTCATCACGTCAAGAGAAGAAGAGTTTCTGGGGCAGCTGATGGAACTGGAGGATGCTCATGATGTCCAGATTCATCTTACCCGCTCTCAGGAGAAGCAGGCCCATGTAGACCATCTTTATAAACTGGCCCTTTCCTTAGGAGCAGACATCATCTCATCAGTGCATTGGCCTGTAAGCATCTTATGACAGCAGCATTTATACCTGATACTTTTGACTCTGATTTTCTTCTTTGAAAGGCAGAGAGGCCCAAAGAAATCTTGCCCTCATTGGTTTATTTCACCAATGCCTGCAAGAGTCGGACTGTGCCAGCCTAGAGCCAGGAATCCAGAACTCAGTATGGGATTCTTGTGTGGGTGGCAGGAACTCAAGTACTTGAGAACCCTGCTATGCACCATCAGGAACCTGGAACTGGAAACTGAGCTGAGAGTCTCCAACTTGGAAGTCCCAAGGAGCACCTAAATATTACACCAAATACCCTCCTCTGTGTTTGTCCCAAAATACACAAGGGGATAATAAGCCTATCTGTTCATTTAAGAATACATTAAATCTTTGATATAATTGTTTATGGTGAATCTCTACTACTTATGTCAAAAAAAATTAAGGAAAAAAATCCAAATATAAAACCCTTATTTAACACATCTATTGTCATGCTAATTTAGAAGAGTGCTTACATTGAGAGCTGTGTGCTGTCCTATGACAGTTCTTTGCAGTTGAAATGTCCTTAATACAGTAATGGAACTAAAATTTAGTTTTTATTAAATTTGAATTAACTTTAAAGTGATTCTCATTATAGTTATTGAATACCCATTTTAGACTAGAGTATATGATTCTAATTTTAAACTGCATATTATGAAATTTAAACACAGATTAGATATTTCTGATGAAAATAACAGATCTGCTTAAAATAGGAAATACAAATGCAAAAACAATTTCAAAGAATATAGAAATATTAAGATTTGTATGTTGATCACTAGTAACTACATACTAGTATGCAACCTAAACAGTATTAATATTATTAAATGGTATTTTTAATATTTAGTAACAGTTTAAATAGTATTATTTAAGTTTAGATAGTATTATTTTCAATAGTATTGTTAAGTTTATTTCATTTTTAAAAATTTTTTGGTAAAATTTTGACATAAAGATTGTACATGTTTATGGGTGGGGTACTTTGTAATATTTTATAACTTGTTTATATTACGGAATGTCCAATCAGGGTAAGTAAATTTATCTTTTCATACATTTAGCAATTCTTTACAGGAAAGACATCCCCAAATACTATCTTCTAAGGTTTGTTGAGAGACAAATATACAGTAAATTAACTTTATCTCTACCCTACTGTGGGTGATACCCTAGAACTTCTGATCCTGTTTAGTTATTATCCAGTACTCATAAATTAACTTTTCCCAGTCCCTTTTGCTCACTTCCTTCTCTGGTAACTAATTATATTTTTAGCTTCCATGAGATCACCTATTTTTTAGACTCCATATATGAGTGATATCAGATTATACTTGTGCTTCTGTGCTTGGTTTATTGAAATCAGTGACCTCCAATTCCACGCATAACTTTGCTAATAGAACAATTTCATCCCCTTTGCCTGAAAAAGTAATATTACATTGCATATATGTACCACATATATGCATAAGTGCATAGTCACTTTGCTTATTTCCATTTCCTGGGAATAGTGTTGCAATCAACGTGGAAATTTCAATATGTCCTCAACATAGGGATTTCATCACTTAGGTTTCCCCCTTTTTTATATAAATACTGGAACATTTCTAATGTACTTATATGACTTTCATGATTATATTGATTAATATTGCATTAGTCTTGTACATCTGAACAGTCAGCTGAATCCTAGAGCTTATCAGCACTCTCACTGGAGGCTGAGAGTAGCTGGCTGTCTTAGCCCTATCAGTTGGGGGAGGGGGAACCCATGCCCCCTGGCTTCGTTTGGGGTCCTGGGCAGTGGATCTGCTTGATGCTGCCGGATAGACTTTCACAGCAGAGCCTGGAACTGAAGTGTTCCAGATCAAATAATACACTGGGTTCTTTTTTTAAAGTCCTGCTTCAAATTCATTATTTGTGGAAAGAGATTATGCTTATTCGATCAGCATGCATGCCATTAATAAAAATCAGAATGGCTGAACTAAATTATAGGGAAGGTAGTGACTCTAGAGTTATAAAATGAAAGACAGAATTACAGAGTATCTGTTGTGGTTAATGGAGTCTGCTTTTGCCAGGAAAGAGCTTTCTTTTTAAAAGAATTTATGTTACTAGTAAATTTACTTTCAAACAGAGAAAGGAAAAAGTCTCACTTTGCACCACGGATGTAAATTGGTCTCCAGTCCTTGCTGGCCTTCACCCTGGCAGCCCCTGTGTGCTGAGCAGAGATTGGAGCCCCTGCATAATGAACCTGAGAGGAAGCTCGAGTCGACAGGAAAATTACAGTGCAGAAGCTCAATGTTGCTAATGCATATTTTATGCTTTTTGAAGTAAAAATTATATGTTATAATGAACGGTGTCTCCAAGGAATGGGATGGGATGAGCAAATCTGTAAAACTGGAAATTCAGGACTGCAAATGTCTTTCTATAATGTTGGCATCTGGCTCCCTTCTTGAGATAATTATATTCCAGTATGTTTAAGGGAAAATAAATCAGGGCCTATTTCTTTTTCAAAGAGTGTCATTTAGGAGTTACACAATGCAAGTGAATTACATGTTTATCTCATTGTCGTGGTCATCCATTCCCCTGGTGATTTCTCCTTGTCTTTCCTTTGTAGAACTGCTCTAATGTCTCAGCAAAGAAGCTGCAGCAGCAGCTGGAGGGTCTGGAAGAGGACAGCCGGACCTGGGTCATCCGGGCTGAGGACCGAGACCGGATGCTGGCCCGCAGCTTGCAGTACTGCAGCTTAAGAGATGAGATCAATGAGGTATGAGGGCCATGTGATGGGTGTGTTCTAGAAGCTACTCTGTGTCTGCGTGCATGCACATTCATGTAATGCATACACAGTGAGTCAGGAGCCTTGCTTTTCCTCCTCTTCTTTACTAACCACTAGCCTCAGATCTTGGCAAATTTGAATTGAGTATGTTGACAACACATAGAGAAGCACACAGTGAAGTGTTGCAATTCTCTGTTCTTGCTTTCATTTGAAGTTTGCTTCCCTCCCTCTGTCCACACTCAAATCCTAATAGTAGTCATTTGCTTTGAGTGGCTCCAGCTCTGCCAGGGCACTGAAGAAAGGGTGACACTGACCCATGGCAGCCCGCTCCAGCCTGCTGAGATTCTATTTAAGTGCAATTGACTCACGGTGGAGGGGGTGTGGAGGGCAGGGAGCAGGCTCTTGGCTTCAGAGGTTACAGACTCTTATCGCCCAAGTCAAGTGGCTAGCTTCCTACAGCCTCCAGCGGAGTGGCTTTTCTGGCTGAAGAATTTCCAGAGAAAAAAGAAAAGAACAGATGAAAGTGCTCTTCCATGTCCCCACTCCCAGCAGGCACAATCCCTCCTCTCAGCTGTAAATAACACCCAGCCACCACCTGTCTGTACATGGCTTTTCTCATTCAAAGGCTTCCTGTTCTGGGGGGGAAAAAAAGCACAGATACCAAGGGTCCTGATTCATGACTGGGCATTCATAGAGGAACTCAAGGACAACCATAAGTTTAATTTCTGTGTACAGCAATATGTTTCTTTGAGTTCTTTGCACAGTAGGTCCACAGGAAAGGAAAGTGATAGAAAAAGAGGTAGGAAGCATTCTTAAACTTTCTGTCCATTCCCAGTTTACCTAATTTGGGACCATCAAGCAACATGAAAGCATGGACTAAACTGTAGGCAATGACACTTGAATAGTGTTCTAGCTTGAAGCATCCCTTTCTTCAGGCGGTACTTTTGGGGGACAACAGGAGTGCAGGAGGAATTGTGCTGGAAGGGAAGTGAGAGAGGAGGATAGTAGGACTGGCCACTTTGATTTTGTTTACCCAGTGGGAGGCAGGAAGGCAGATCTGACACAGATTTTCATTTTAGTTATGTGCTACAGGGCTGTGGAGATTCTGCTGTTAGCCGGTGCCAAAACAAGTTGTTTCGGGCTAGACTAGCCCACTCCTCAGGATTGGACCCACAGTGTAGACCTCCGTGTAGTTGAATAGCTTTTTCTGGATTCCACTATTGCAACCACACTTTTATCAGGTCTTGTGGAAGAAAATGACCTGAGCACTTTCATTTCCCCAATGCTAAAGCTTTGCATTCAGCCATAGGAATACATTTTTAAAAATCTTTCACCAAAGTTATCCTACATCTTCTTCCTCACTGCTGCTTTTGTTGCCTTCTCCATTTGCTTTTCCTCCCTTTTGTGCATCTCTGTCTTGCCAGGCATGTACCCTTCTGCTGCAGTGGTCCAACTCTACTGAAAGCACAAGTGAGGCAGGCTAAGGGTTCTCCCTAGACCCTGGGGCTTGGGGCCACCTCTCTGAAGGGCTGTGGCATTAGTGGAGATGGGTCTCTCTGTGCCGGCCCTTTTCCCAGGCATTCTATTTATAGGGACTGCCTCATGATGAGCCTGAGCTGGGAGGCAGCCAGCCAGCCAGGGTGACAGATGTCCCTTCCAGGCCTAGGAGGAACATCCCAGGATTGTCTGTCCCCTATCAGGGCAACCAGATACCTGCAGATTGGATTTAGGAATCATGTACCCCTTTCACATACCCTTAAATATTAAGAGAGGTATCCTTTCCATCTGCTTCTATCTCAAACCCAACAGATCTTTGATAAAAGCTGCATTTTCACATTTAAAACCTTGAAAACATTGGATCTTTTCTACTTTTCCATTTTTTTTCTTTTGTAGAGCTATAGTATGCATGTCAGACTGTAGTAACCCATCCAGCCACAAGCCTCACAAAAATAATCAGAAGGAATATTTGTATGTCCCTAGAAAAACAGAAATGTTGCATTCTAGTTTGCGGTGGGAATATCAGTACACAAACAAATGGCCATTTCCAATAGTGACAAAAATATTAGGCATCTAGATGTTAGTAATGGCAGTATCATTATTTGTAATAAAATATTACATAAGCTGTAAAAATATTTATGTAAAACTAAATATGATATGTTACATTAAATATATTTCCACAAAAGAAAGTGACATCAGATACCTTGCCAAGAAAGATGGACCAAGTGTAACATTTGATGTTTAATGTTTATTTATAAACACTAATTATTCTGCTTCCAGTATGTTTGAAATGTTTCTTTATAGAGCACAGACTCTGAGTTGCAGTAGATTTTTGAGAATGTCTGGTTCAGCATCTTTTTTACAAGAAACGGGTGTATACACATGACTTTCATTTTAGACATGTGCTAGAGGAATACAGAGTTCCTGCCCATAGAATTCCAGGGTATCAACTCTGAGTCAGAGTCTTATGTGTAAGGCACCAGCACACTGGTGGTTTGCTAAGCTCAGAATTCATCATTCACACGATGTAAGTTCCATTCAACTTCTGCCTGATCCTCTGCCTATGTTGTGTTCTATCCAGTTTCCTAACATATCTGTTAGAAGAGTTTTAAAATTTACTTGAAGGAACAGGAGAACATGTGTGCCCCCTTCTTGTTTCATTCCCCAAATGTCCACAACATCAGCGAGTCATCTTGCCAAAGCATGGAGCCAAGAACTCGATCTGGGTCTCCTATATCAGTGGCAGGAACCAAACTGCTGGAATCCTCACTTGCTGCCTCCCAAAGTGCATGATAACAGGAGCTGAGACAGGGAGCAGAGTCAGGGCTGCACCCAGGCACTCCTGTGTGGGGTACAAGAATCCCAATGATCAGCTTAACCCCTACCACAAACACCTGCCACCATGTAGAATTTTATTGTGAGTTGCTATAATAGAACAGTTCATTTTGTTAAATCAGCAAAAATGTCTTTATTGACTATGCTGTAGCTGACTTACAAGATTAGGTGACATTGAAGGGCTTCAGAAGAGACTCAACACCGGAAAGGAAAATGAAATAAGTGGGTGTTTTTTTTTTCCATGTGACATGACATTATTTAAAGGTAACAAAAAATGATTTCATGGCTTAATTCTTTTTGAGTAAGCACCATTCAACTCTATTCCAGGACATGGAAAATCATTTGCTTTTTTTTTTCTGTGTCTACCTACTGGAGAACACACCCATGAAACTGGTTTTTTTGGAGTAACATAGCTATCAAACTACTATTTTGGGGGGGAATTTTTCCATTCATTTCATGCAGAAATACGTTTGTATTCATGAGTTTAATATGACCGCACATTTTCTTGCCAACCTGTGTAAATTTTTTGTATCTGAAGTGTTATACATATATTTTCTGGCATAGTCTGTGACAGAGGGACATGGTCAGTTGCTCAGTCTTTACACATATATATTTTAAAACACAATAAGGTAATATTGAGCATGTTTTCTTCTCTGAACTTGGCCAAAAAATTACCTTTATATTTACATAATATTAATGGAAATTTGCAACTAGAGGCTATTCTCATGGGTTACAAATAATTACTTTGCTGTAAAGAACAGTAATGGCAGAATCAGGTCAGTATGTAATTTCTCAAAATAAGTTCCACAAAAAGACTTTCAGATCATAACACTACATTACTCCTAAGTTTTTCCACTGCAATGATATCTTACCCACAAAAAGTTAGCTGAAATAGACATAGCATACACATTCTGTAATTTGGACATTTGCTCATGTGCTACCGGTTCTGTTTTGTCAGGATTAACCAGTCTCCTGAGTTCCAAAATTACATGTCAGATTAGAAGCAGTGAATTGGAATAGAGGGAATTGTGCCACTGTGGACACCTGCACAATTAATAAACCTAACACTGCCTGACTGTGTGGCACTTTGCCACTGACAAAATGACCATGTACAACACTCACTGACAGGAAAGGAAGCAAAGGTTTTAGAAAAAGTCAAAATAGCCTATAGGGTAGCCTGATGCTAGAGGACAGACAATAATTACTTTCCAGATTTATAGCCTGAGTTCATCATGTCAAAAAGTAATCTTTGGGGTAGGCATCAGCCTAAAGTTCCTTATTAGAGCGTCTTGGTTGGACATGGCTCTGCTTCCGACTAATGCTGAACCTGAAAAGCAATAGTAGTGGCTTAAGTAACTGGATTCCTGCCACCCATGTGAGAGTTAAGATTGAGTTCCTAGCTCCTGGTATCTGGCTGGCTTAGTACTGGTCATAACGGAAAGTTTATGGAAGCTCTCTTTCTCCCCCTCTGTCCTTCCCTCATCCCTCTGTCTTTCTTTTTGTGTTGCAAGCAACAAATAAATATATAATGTGGAGAGTGGGTGCCACCCTAATTATAAATGGTCTCAAAAGTCTTGGAGTCCAGGGGAAGTTTAAATTCAGGGTCTCAATACTGGCAGGCACTGATTAATCAAATTTCACTCTGGATCTCTTTTGTAAAGGACAGGAAAGTTTATCATTTGTTATTGGAGACATCTACCCTATAGTTCAAATCTCTTAAAATGTTAGCATTTAGCATTTGCAAAATAATTGTTTTCTTGAAGAATACAGAAAGCAGAAGTCAAAATTATATCTAAAAAATCAAATTTAATATTTTAGCAGACACAAAATAGAGAGCATGAGTAAGCTGTTTTACTGAGACCTGTTGCCACCTACAATTTAAGATGGAGCCCCTGTCTTCATTTCCCAAGTTGCCCACGTCCTGTAGCTCCAGGGTTGGCATCAAGAACAGTAAGTCAGTGATGTGGTTGCAAAATTGAACAAGACCGGCAGCCATGTCCTGAAGTCTGTACAACTGTCTTCCCATTAATTGCGGTAGCAAGTGAGTTAGGTTGAGTTTCCAGACTTTCCATTTCTTCATTTTAAATGCAAGCATCCCTGGGAGGTGATAATACTGAAGCTATTCTGTACCTGAAAATGAATAGCAGAAAGCTTTTATTATTTTCTTCAGTGGGCAAAACTGTAAGCAAGGAAAGGAGTGGAACTGTGAGAGAAATGAAAATTGATGATTCACTTTGCATCTTTCCTTCTGGCCAAAGGTATGCTGCATACAATTCTAAGGAAAGGGCTTAAAAACAATACATACCCTATTTTTAAAGGGTCCCACGTTCCTTTCACAATTGGCCCTGCCAGCTACAAACTTAACAAATACATTCTTGCGCCAGAGCTGCCTCAATTGGCTTCATTAACTCTAAAAATAGCAGGCAAGCCTTGCTTGTCAGCAGGCTCTTTCCCTTCTGCTCTTGGCGTAGCACTGGTCATTCCTGACTTTGAGAGGGGGCTTAAGGCTTGCTGGTGAAAACGTTTATTCTGTAGTTTCAAAAGAACTACAGTTTTTAAATGTCAGTAACTTTTAATCTAATATTAGCTATCTTGACTTTTCTTATTCTATAGTAAACATAGAGGAACCAAGCAAGATGAAAGGCAGGGGGAAAAAAAAATCATCATTTCTCTGATTTTTTTGAGACATTTAGAAGTTTCATTAATATCGACTACAACTACATTTAAATATTAGTAGTAAGATGACATTTTTCTCACCCCAGTCCTTGGGTGTTTCCTCTGCTTATTTGTTTGAGTTGAGCAGTTGTCCTAGCCATCTCCACCATTCCCCATTGTTGACAAGCCGACTAAAGTTAGAAACAGCTGCATGAACAATGATACTGCAGCCAAGCTGCCATATCCCTCAGCTCTCTCCAACATCTGACACCAGTTATGTGGGGATTATATGGGAAGTTAAGTTTTCAGACTGAAATATGCAGGTAGGAAAAGTGTGGTCAACTTTTCAGTTGTTGAAGGTAGTTCATGTGTACAGCCTTCTCTGTACATCTTGAGTTTCATTTGAAAAAGACTCAGGGGTTTCGATTTTAAAACGGGCTCCAGAGGGATCAAAAGAGCAAAGTGCCACCAACTGTGTCAAGGGAGCTCATGTGTCAGAAAGAAGCTGATCCCATTTCACATATCCGTAGCGTCATGAACATTCTTTGACCTTATAAATCATTGACAGTGAAAGTGCATATGCTCTGAAGCAAACAGCATCTCACTCATCATTTAGCAGTGTCGCCCTTCTGAAGCCAAGTTGATCTGAAGTCCTATAATAAGTATAAAATTTTATTTTCCAATGGATAAATGTTATCAATAAGGTTTGCTTTCTTCTTTCTTTTAATTTTTAGTTGTAAAATGCACATCATAATACCATTTAACCATTTTATGTGTATGGCTCAATGGTGTGGTATTTTATATGTTCACATTATTATAGTCATCACTGTTATCCATCACAGAACTTTTTCATCATATCAGATTGAAACTCAGCATTTACTGAACAATAATTTGACATTGAAGAAATGATTTTTAAAACTAAGACTTCTGAGGCAAATGCTGTGGCAGGCATCAGGCCAACTCGCTGTCTGTGATATCAGAATTCCTTATGGGAACTAGTTGAGGCCTGATTGCTCCATTTCCCACCCAGCTTCCTGCTGTGGACAGAGGATGCCCCCCCACACCCAAGAGCAGACCCGGAAGAAGCTCCTCACCCTTGGCTTTGGCCTGGTCCAAGCCTGGCCGTTGTAGTCATTTGGCAGTGAACCAGCAAATGGAAAATGTTTTCCTGTGTCTTTTTCTCTTTCTGTAATTTTCTCAAATAAACAAATAAGACCTAAACAAAATCAGTAATTTCTAATTTTCTCAAAAGTAGAACATAGTATATTTTTGTTGCAAATTATGAGGTTAGGGAACAGTTTCACATAAGATTTGCCGATGTTTTACATGAATAACTGAATGTGATTCTTTCATGCCTCAATCCTATAAAATGACCCAATGCATCTTCTTCTGCTAAAAATCAAACATTGAATGTCATAAAATACAAATGTTAATCTCTTACAAATATGCCAACTGAGCATCATCTTTTAAATATATTCCTAAATTCTGATAGAATGATTGATTTTAATTTTTAAATTTTAAACTAAAGCTCTTTCTACTTTTGAACATTTTGATTAATTAAAATGTTTTATGTGATGTCTGTTCCTCAATTAGTGTGTAGATGAAAACTAATGTTCAATAGTTTCATTTATTATACACAATAATGTAGATGAGGTAAAGGTGAATCAAATGCAAAAAATATGTAGCAGGGTAACCATTACTGTGTACACAGATCTTCTAATGCTTTACCAATCATTACCTCCAAGGAACAGTCAAGATAAAATCAAAGTGGTATCCTTACAATAAACATTGTGAGAAAACACACATTTTCTTGGGCAGGTTTAAGAATGTGTATGGGTTTACCTTTCCTCCGAATAGTTTATGCATCATCCGAAAGAATTTTAAACATCTTCCAGCTTTCTTGTGATGGTTCAAAGTTATCAACCACACTGTTTTTTCACTCTTGCTGTTTAAATGTCTCTACAATCTAAGAAGGTTAATGTTTTTCTATACACCTCTTTGCCAGAAATGCAGAGAGAGTTGCCTGCTAATATTCTAAGTCTTCTTCCTGAATACAGAGAAGGGAAGGGAGAGTTGTGTGTCTAATGGAACTGGATTGCTTGAAATTTTGGTACATTGGTAAAGTGGAAATGTTCATTAGACTATGGATCAATATACTCTTTCTATGTAAGCTAATCATCACATGCAAGCACTTTCACTTTACATTTTGTTATTGAAGATCCAAGAGGTAAAACTCTCTAAGTATTTCCCATGAAAAACTCTTTTATTTTTCCCTACTAAAGCACTTATTTGGACTTCTCTTTCACTGTACCAATATCGCAGGCGGCCTTGATGTCCTCACTTCACTGCTCTCTTCAATATGAACAGCTCCTTGGACCTTTAATAAATATATGCATAACGGCTGTAAGAGAGAATTTGGAAAGATGAAGAAATTTGGGACAAACATTAACATAAAGAGAGCAGAATCAGTTGGAAGGAGTCAGTATTGTGGCACAATGGAAGTAACTGCATATCTGTGCCAGCCATATCTCATCAGAGTGTAGGTTAAGTCCTGGTCACTCTACTTCCAATCCAGATTACTGATAGCCTGAGAAGGTAGCTAAGGATGGCTGAAGTATTTGGGTCCTTGGTACACATGTGAGAGGCCAAGATAGAGTTCTGGCTCCTGCTTTGGCATGACTTGGTTCTGGTAGTTGTGGTATTTGGAGAGTCATCCCGTAGATGGAAGATCTCTGTGTTTCCAACTTTGTTAGTCGGTCTGCTTCATTCATTCTGAATACATTTTGAAGAATGTTATTTGAAAATATTATTGATTTATTACAAATGAATGTTTTCTCATTTTATGAAAATCATTTGTTTCTTTCTTAAACTAAAGCTCAAAGAATCATTCAAAGATACCAAAAAGAAATTCAACAATTTGAAGTTTAATTATTCTAAGAAAAATGAAAAAACTCGAAATCTGAGGACTCTTAAATACCAAATTCAGCAAGTTGATACATATGGCGAAAAAATGCAGGTAATGGGAAAATATGGTATGTGTGTATGCGTGTACTACTGCAGCTGTTGCAAAATCATTGTTCATTTTAGTTCTGTGTATCTAATTCTTTTTTTCCAAATGGGATTAGGACTGTAATGGTAGTTTACCATTTTATGACAGTTATATAATAGTTGATTTACATTCTGGGAAATTCCAGAATGATTTCTGTCCAACCTACTTGCCCTGTGTATCTCCATTTTCTCCTTCTGTACATACACATTTCACTCCCCACTTCCTTTCCTTCCTCCTGTCTGTACCAAGAGTTTCTTCCACCACTCATTTGTCCTCTTGACAATTATAGGTGTGATCTAACTGGTTTGGATGGCTTTCCCAGGAGACATGAAGCTTTAAGAGGAGAAGCACTTGATTTTTAAATAGAATTAACTTTATTTCATTGACAGAGTTACGGAAAGAGGAGGGACTGAAAGGAGGGAGGAAGGAGGAAAGATCTTGCTAGTTGGCTCCCCATATGGCCACAATGACAGGGACAGGGATAGGCTTAATCCAGAAGCCAGGAACTCTGTCTGGATCTCTGCATTAGCAGCAGGCAGGATCGTAAGTGGAACAACCAGGACTTTGAACAGGCAGTTGTTTGGAAGGCCAATGTTCTAGGCAGCAGCTTGGCCTGCTGTATCCTAATACTGGCACCAAGTATTTAGTCTTGATTGTATGATATCTTTAAAAAATAGATCCTGGTACAATGCTGAGTTAATAGAACATCTGGAAGAAAACCTGCTATTTCCAGATCAAATTGTGGGAGTAACTATGCAGATTTTGTTGATTTCTGTCACTCACAGAATAAATAAAAATTGAATGTTTTATGTTTTTGTGCAGGTTTTGAAAAGGAAAATAGAAAAAATTAATAATAAAGCTTCTGATTCGTTCCTCAATTATCCAAGTAACAAAGTTAATGTCCTCTTGGAAACACTGAAGGATTTGCAGAAACATGTGGAGGACTTTGACAAAGTGGTTACGGATTACAGAAGAAATTTGGACCTGACAGAGCATCTTCAAGAAATAATACAGGAGGTGACTTATAATTAAAATCTTTTTACAATGTTTTAAGAGTTATTTTTCTATTTTAAAACTATTGTATTAGTTATGATTATCATTAATCCTGTGAATTATATTCATCTTCATGACAGTTTCCATCAGATATTTTCCTAAAACAGGATTTTTGGATCAAAAGGAATGAATGTTATGAGCTTTTATATGATATAAGCCAGTTGTTTTAGAGCTAACCAGCAATGTATGAGATTTCATGTTCCGCCATAGTCTCATCAAGTCTATTAAGAAATCATATTCACTACTGGTCACCGGTTTCCAACAGTCAATTTGGCTTATTTATCTTACAGAATTTGAAAATATTTAGAGAAAAGTGACACTGCAATTTATGAAGTACAGTTAATTATTGTCGAGAAAATGAGCTGCATTGTGCCAGTAAGAGATGCAAAAGTTGACAGTAAAGGGGAGCTTGTGCTTGGCATTGAGGAAGCACTGAGCTTGCGGATCTTGAATTTCCTTAGCTGTGTGCTGTTCTGATGACATGCCTTACTCTACCTCTAACACCGTGGAGTCTATAGATTGAACCCTGCATTGAGGTGGATTGAGGTGATCACTCTACCATTTCGGATAGGTAGGAATGCTGCAGCTTGAGGACAGTTATTTAAAAACAGCTTCTAACAGGGTTTTGTGTTTCTATTTTTCATCCAGAGTCATTCCTTTTGTCCCACTCCTTTATTTTTAGTGAAAAATTGTAATCAGTTCCCTTCTATGGCTTGATAATATGCTGGGATTAGTGGCGTGGCTTGGTGAGCTAGGCTTTTACGGTGGTCCCCGCATCCTATGTAGATACCAGTTCAAGTCACTGCTGCTTGACTTCACATCCAATTCCCTGCTCAGGGCCATGGAAAAGCAGTAGAGTATGGCCCAAGTGCCTCCGTCCCTGTACTCACATGGTGGACATGGAGGAAATTCCTGGCTCCAGGAATTAGAAAATTAGGACTGGCTCAGCTGTGGCCATTGAGGCCATTTGGGGAGTGAACCCATGGATGGAAAATGTGTGTGTGTGTGTGTGTGTGTGTGTGTGTGTGTGTGTGTGTGTGTGTGTGTGTGTGTCCGTCCTTCCCTCTGTTACTCTGCATTTCAAATAAAAATAATTTTTTTAAATAAAAAAATGAATAGCTTCCATTTTGAAAGATGACATACTGTTTGGGAATTTTTCCTTCATCTAGGTTTTTTATTTTAAAAGATTCAAAATTTATTATGCTAGATTGTGAATGTTTTGCCTTTTTTTCTTTCCAATTTGGGGTCCATTTGGTGCCAAATAATTTTTGTGTTACTTGTTCTCACAATTCTCTTAGTGATTACATTTTAGGCATTCCTGAGAAGTTAGGAAAATGAAACACATTCCCGTAGTTTTCCTTCTTATTTCTATCTCTACTGCCCAAATGTATATGTTCATGTTTTTATCTACTATAACCAAGAAAGTTTACCTAGATAAACCTAAAGTTTGAGGGTTCTAAAATATAACACTTTTCCTGGTTAACAAACTGGGGTATGGCGACTCTTTAATCTTGCATTATCTTCTTATCATGCAGTGTCACTTTTGGTATGAAGATGCAAGTGCCACAGTTGTGAGAGTTGGGAAATATTCCACAGAGTGCAAGACAAAGGAAGCTGTGGAAATTCTGCACCAGCAGTTCAAGAAGTTCATTGCACCCTCAGTGCCACAGCAAGAGCAGAGGATGCGGGAGGTTACTGACCTGACTCAACGCTTGTATGGTGAGCTCTCTGCTAAGGTTGCCAGCGCTTTGACATGGGACAAATCTGTATGGAAACTGACTTAACAGGGAACAGAGTGGCAAGTCTCCAGGTCCTCACTCAACTACCTAATCAGGGAATTAGCTTGGCGGGGGGGAGCAACTGGCCAGCAAACACAGTAAGGACCCAAGGGAGGAACTGCACAGCCAAAGGTAAAGCCTGCTGACTTAGCCACCTTCAGACACTCTCATTCTCATTTCTTTCTGTCTCCCCCTTCCTGTTCATCTCCAGGGTGATAAAGCCAGAACAGTACTCAGCTTATAAATATATACACTAAATCTGCTTTCCCAACAAAACGATTTCTAGTAAAATATACAACTATCCAGTAATACTTTAAGTTGGCATCAAGTTGAGACTGAAGTCTGTGGCCCTTTAATTTATATGAGGGTTTAGTTCACAGGTTTGAGAAAGAGTTGGAAAAGGCTCCCTTTGCCTTCTTCTTATGAAATCAGTGGGAAAACTCCAGTGTCGTCTCAGCACTTCTGCTCTCCTCTCCTTCATGGTTGGGAAGAACAGTGCTGTTGTCAGTTTTAAAAGCAAGTCCTACTTTCTGATAACAGCCCTGTGTAACATAGTCTTGGGTCTTTCCTGTGCCAGATTGCTCTGAGGAGTCATTTCTGTGTATTCCCTGCTGTTCTTCCTCTGAAACCAAGAACAATTCCCAGAAATGTGGCAGGTGCAGCCCTGAAAGAAGATAGCAGCAAGTGGTAGTGGGTGCTGTGCTCGGCTGCCTGTGACTGCTGCTGGGTCTTTCCTCTTACAACATGAAGCTCTGTGTCTGGATAGCCATAAAAATCTTTATTAAAGATTTATTATATGTATCATACTGTGTAATATTAGGATGAAATTACTCATGATTTTCTAATGAAACATTAAAATAATAAAATATACAGAGGAAGACATTTTGTAATGGGTTAAGCCGCTGCCTGTATCTGATATGGGTGCCAGTTCAAATCCTGGCTGCTCCACTTCTGATCCAGCTCTCTGCTAATGTGCTTAAGAAAGCAGCAGAAGATGACCCACTTGCTTGGGCCCCTGCACTTCTATGGGAGGGACACCCAGAAGAAACTCCTGTATCCCGGCTTCAGCCTGGCCCGACCTGAACTTTTGTGGGCAATTTGGGAAGTGAAAGAGGCCAGAAGGTAGTGGCGCTCTTGCTCTCTCAGTCTCTCTTTTACGCTGCCTCTCACTCCCTCTTCCTCTCTTCCTTTCCCATTCTTCTCCTTCCACCTCCTCTTCCTCTTTTTTTCCTCTGTCTGTAACACCGACATCCAAATAAATAAAGTTCTCAAAAAATAAAACATGATATAGATGGAAATATTGCTCACAATGAATGTGACATCTCCTTTTTGTTTTACTCTGTAAGTACACTAAAATATTATTGGAGAGTCTCACTCTGCTTCCATAACATTGTATACGTTTCATTCTCTCAAGATACTTTCATGCCATAGTATAAACACTTGTTTTCTATAGTGCAGGCAAGATAAGTATATTTTATCACTGTATTGAGAGGTACCTGTGCCATTTTAGGGCATGTAAGTACTCACAAGATTCCTATAATTTCCATCTCATCACACATAATCCTCTATCCTACTTTACATTCCTTGCTCTTTCAGCAGTTGACATGTTATGTGAGTAGAATCATTTGTCTGTTGTCTGGCTTTCCTTACTACAATGTAAGTTCCAGGAAATAAGGAATGGTGCCTATTAGTGCTTAATAACACGTGAAACACAAATGAATCATTGAGAGTAATGTGATTGGATACATGGATGGTGATTCTTCATCTGTTTAGGATGGAAACTATGGAATACTTTTTAAATTTTCCATCAAATTGGGGTACTTTAGGAATGTCACATCAACTCTTACTGCTTAATCAAGTATTACTGAACCCACCATTTTAATGCAAATAATTTATCAAAAACATTTTAAGGTTTTTTTTTAATGTATGAAGACATGCAGCTGACATAAAGACAAGTTAAATCTAGTGGTGTGCATTCAAGGATTGGCTTTTAAACCTAAAAGTCATGATACATTAAATGCAGTGAGGAGCTATGAAATGTGTTCATTAGCTTGCTAGGGCTGCCATGCAAAACACCACAGACTGGATGGCTTAAACAAGAATAATCTGCCTCACATTTCTGAAACCTGGAAGTTTAAGATCAAGATGGTTGGGTTACCTTCTGAGAACTCCTTGGTTTGCAAATGGCTACCTTCTTGTTGCCTCTTCTCTGTCATTTCTCTATGCTACCTTCCTGCCTAAGAAGGACACCAGTCATATTAGATAATTAGATAATATCAGAATCATGTTTCAAGATCTTATACATAAACACAGTTGCAGAATGACAACCTAGAAATTGGGACTTCAACATATGAGCTTGTTTGGAAGGCTACACTTCTTTGCCTGTAAGACTGTGTTCCACAGCTGCCCTAGGCTATGGAGTCAGATAGTGCTAGGTTCAGATCCCTATGCTTCCTATTAATGTTTGGGTCAGAAACTCCTTTAAGAGCCTGTGGCCTTCATTTACAAAATGTGGCTAGCAACAGGGCTACCAGGGGATGACATGAGAAAATGCACATGAAATGCTTAGTCATAGGCAAATAATAAGCTCTTGCATACATTGTAGCTATTTTTGTTACTATCCACCAGAGAGAAAATCCAATCATGATGCTGGCATTTGAAGTGGACCTAGAATAGGAAGGAGGGTCTTGATAGCAAAAATCTAAAAAGTAAGGCTAGAGACAGGACATCATCAGAGGGTGTTTTTTTTTTTTTTTCCTGCTAAGGATTTGACCTCTAAAAGCAGTTCTTTCTTTCCTCTGCCCAGGTGTGGAAGAAGGGCAGAAATATGCTGAGAAAATCATGGCAAAACATGAAGAGGTTCTTGAATCCATTAATGAATTATGTGGCTCACTGACAGAGCTTGAAGAAAAACTGAAGGTAATACCTTCTTCCTGGAATAAGCCTCTTCCAGCCACATAGATAAATAAAAGTTTGTGGATAAAATGTCTTCTGGTTATAAGATGTTCTGATACTAGTTCTCAATGATTGCACACTGATTTTTGAAGCTTTCTAACATAATTATTTGAGTGTTTCTCATAATTAATTCTGGTTATCATCATTGTGAAGAAAATCATTGCAGAGAATGGGAGCTTAAACACAGGGAAGGTATTTTACTTTCATTGTGTTAGATTATATGCTGAAAGATGAATATATTTCTGTTAGAAAAGTGAAGTCTGGCCTAAGTAGCCTTAGGTTTTTGTTCATAAATAATAGATATAAGCTTTTCCCCTCCATGTTAGGACATCAGAGAAATAAATCTTCAAGTGTTTTTGTTCATTGAACATTTAGCTTCATGGGACTATTAAACACTTCGTTTTCATGGAATAAACATAGGTATGAAAAGAATAGAGAAAATATTTATGTGTCTGTCTAGCAAAATGCAGTTAGAAGAGAAATGTGTCCATTGTTTTGGCTATGTCATATTAAAAACTGTTGTGATTAATGCTGTTATTGCAACTGACTGAAAAAGCTGGTTATTTAGGTGGGAGAAATTGCAAGGTAATTAATAACATAAGCTCTAGAGTACAGTACAGCTGCCTGGGATCTCAAATTATTAGATATGTGACTTTGGGTAAATTAGTAAAATCCCGTGAGTCAGTTTTCTGACCTACAAAATGGATCAAAAGACAGTCCTGAGAATTGAATATGAAGACACACAGGATTTCGTTGTGATCTTTAATGTTAATAAAATGGTTTTGCTGTCCAGAGCAGGATTGCATTTATGTCTATCATTTTTTCCTATGTCTGTGTCATAAGCATGAGTGACAATACTATTTCAAATGTACAAATCTTTAATTGAGTACTGAATTATCCTTTTCCTTTGAATAACAATCTAGTATGAGCATTTAGCCTAGCAATGAAGATTCCAGATCTGGGTTCGAGTCCTGGCTCCAATGCTGATTCCAGCATCCCAATGGCAGATTTTGCAGAGCTAGCAGAGACAGACAGATCCTGTCTGCTGGTTCACTTTCCAAATGGCCACAACAGCCAGAGCTGAGCTGATATAAAGCCAAGAACCAGGAGCTTCTTTTGGGACTCCCATGTGGGTGCAGGAATCCTAAGGTCTATCCCCCACTTTTTCCAGGCTATATCCAAAAAGCTGCTCCATTGCAAGTGGAGCTGCTAGGGCACAGATGGTATCCAGATGGAATGCTGGCACCATAAGGCAGAGACTTAGTCCGCTTCACCATCTTGCCAGCCCCAAACTTTACCTTTTTAAACAACATTTCATGGGTTATCTTTGTGCCTGTTTTTCTCTTTATTTTCTGTCTTACAAGCCCACATATAAATTCTCCAAAACAGATCTGGGAAAATGGTTGTGAAATTATTAATGCCTCATATATCAAATTGTTTCATGTAAACATTGTATGATTGCCATTCTGCTGCTGTAGGAATGAATCATCCGTCTTACTCTGTCTTATTCAACATTTATCATTTCCTGTCCGCCCCGTCTTATCCACCAAGGCCCAGTGGTGTCTCCGTAAGGACACTGAGACTCACTGTTTCCTCTGCTCTTTGTTCTCTGTTGTCTGCAGGACCTTTCCTGTTCATTTTCTGAATTTTTAGCCTAATGAAATACGCTCTCCTCAAATGTTAGCCCTCCCTAGTTTTTCCAGTTCTTCCTGATAGACCATTTTCGAAGCCTCCCTTACATTAGTAGTCCCTGCTCCTCCAGCACTTCCTGTAGCCAGGACTTAACTGTCTCTTTTTCCTTTCCAATCAAGTACTTGGATTATATCTTCTTTTTAGAAAAATGTATTTATTGTAAAAAAAAAAAACACAAAGACCTTCCACCTGCGGGTTTGTTCCCCACATGCCTGCAACAGTCAGGCGCTCCATTCAGGTCTCCCATATGACTGGCAGGGACCCGAGTACTTGGGCTGTAGTAGAGTGCCTCCGCAGGTGCATTATCAGAGAGCAGGATTGGAAGTGGAGGAGCAGGGACTTGAATCAAGTCTCAGATTTGGAATGTGGCCACCCCAAGCTGCAACTTAATCTTCTAGATCACAAGGTCAGCCCTGGATTCGCTTTTATAAAAACTGAGAGTCTTCTGATTACGCTCCCACCTAGCTAGAGGTTGAGCCAGAGGTTTAGCTAGAGGTGTACCCATTCTGCTAATGTTGTTTTATATTTGAAGTACTTCAGCATAGACTCTCCATTGCTTACCGAGAGCATCCCAGATTTGAGGATTTCCACTATTCTGAGGCTGACCACCTCTTTAAACCACTGTTTGTTCACTACAGCTTTTTTTTATTGTTTTGTTTGTCCCCTTTGGTATAGAACATTCCTTCTCCTTAAAATTTAATTTATGTTCATGATTTTCTGTCTTTGTTCATAAACATTGAACCATGCCTGGAAACCAGATCCAAACAGGGCTCCTTCCAGAAGTCCTTAACTATTGGTCATTTGGACTGCCATAGGAAATGGCGGGGGGCGGGGAGAAGGTGAGAGCTAATAAACCACAGACACCTCATCCTCATAGTTTTGGAGACTAGGAAGGCCAAAGTCAATGTGTTAGCCTATTTGGTGTCTCATGAGGGTCCACGTCCTCATAGATGGCCATCTTCTTACACTAATTGCCTTTGGCAGAGAGGAGCAGCCTCTTTTATGTAGGCACTGATCTCGTTCATGAGGACTCCCCCCCCCCCCGCCCCCGTGCCCTAACCACACCCGCTCCAAAACCTTGCAGCCTAACACTGTCACTGAGTGGGTGCTAATTTCCCGATAGGACTTTCAGACAATAATATCCAGATCATGATTATCCAATAAAACCACCACTACCATCCCATTCATTGTATTTGGCTGTACTGAACTAAACATTGGCCCAGCTAGGTTTAGTGTTCCACTAAACCATGGTAAGCTCTGGACTTCAGCTATCCAAGCAGGATCTTGAAAATGGGTTTTAACACTTGCAGAAAATGCACAAATAATGAATGCAGAGGGGGAATTATTCAGTAGTTCAGAAAAGTTTGATTTTGGTGAAGATAAAAGCAGGAAAAAGTCTCTGAGGAGAAAGAGGCATCAGTGCTACCTTTATGAGTTACAACCTCAACAAAAGCTTTTCAAATACTTAGAATTTTTATAGAGTTGTGCTGATCTGAAGCCAAGAGCCAGCAGCTTCTCCAAGTCTGCCTTGCAGATGCAGAGTCCCAGTGCTGTGGCCATCCTTTGCTGCTTCCCCAGGCCGTAGGCAAGGAGCTGGATGGAAAGTGGAGCAGCTGGAACCCATATGAGATCTTGGTGCTTGTACAGTGAGGATTTATCCACTGAGCCCTTGCAACAGGCCCTAAAAGGGTTTATGTATGTTATCTCCAGTGCTTTTTAAATTATTGTTATTTTAGTAGTGAAGAAGAAAAATTCAAGGAGAATAAAATTGCTTCACTTGGGGCCTGCTGTCAGGTAGCAGTAGATTTGACTTTGAAGTTATATCTAATTCAAAATCCAGCATTCTTTCTATGACAGCTACCATTTTGGAATCAGATTTTGAGTGTGTTCTAAACCCGAATGACTCATCCAGTAATACAAACCAGCTTTGTTTTAGAATTGAAACTGAAAGTGGAACCTCCCAATGACTGTGTCTCTCCAGATCCTGTGATGGCATAGCCCCTTTCCTTGGATGGACAGACCTGTTTCTTTAAGACTTTTGTAGTGGCCATGTTCCAGCTGGGATAGAGAGCTTTCTACTGCAGTGTAATCACCATCCTAAACTAGAATGTTCTGTCTCTCGGCATTTACATAGCTGCTTTTACCTTGACAGTGTTTCCTCAGCTCTCAATCATAAATAAAGCTGAGCCTTATGAAATGCAGGAATAATTCGGCTCTGCCTACAGGGGCAGCCTGTGTCTTCAGCTGTCTCTTTTCTTTACCAGCCCAAGTGACATTGCCTTTGTGTTTTCAAGAGCTTCCCAGTTTCCTTCTGCAGACTCTTTGAATCTCATACCCTCTTCTCCACCGGAGACCTTTAATCATTTCTCCCTCCTTCCTGCTTCCCTGGCTCTCCCACTGCTTTCAACTTGCATGCACCATGCTTCCTTTCCCTAGAGAGAGTGCCGGTCACAGCATCCTATTGTAATGATTCCTTTTTTTCCTGATGGGTTTTTGAACAACCAATTTTAGCTGGCAAGAAACTTTATTAAAGTGGGAGGCAGGAAGGGAACTGTGAGCATGAAGGGATAATTGTAGAGATCACATCTCAGGTGTACATCAATCTCTCCTGGAATACGTTTGTTGAAAGGTTGCCAGGAGCCCAGGTTTTTCTTCCAGGAGGTTTAGTGCATGGCACTGTTCTCGCACCTATTCTGGCCCAGGCTTTTATTAACCACCTCTTTGTACAGCAGGGAGATGACTTAAAGATGAACCTAAATTTGGAAGATGTCCACAATGATTGCATTGACTTGTTAAAGGAACCAGCAAGAGAGAAGCAGACAATGTTCAAAGGAGGAAAGAGTCAGGTAAAAAAAAAAAAAGCTATTTAAACTCAGCTATTTCACACTTCTGATTAGAAATTCCTTTTTTTTTTAAGATTTATTTATTTTTATTGGAAAGGCAGATATACAGAGAGGAGGAGAGACAGAGAGGAAGATCTTCTTTCCAATGATTCACTTCCTAAGTGGCCGCAAAGGCTGGAGTTGAGGCAATCTGAAACCAGGAGCCAGGAGCTTCTTCCAGGTCTCCCACACAGGTGCAGGGTCCCAAAGCTTTGGGCCATCCTTGACTGCTGCCTGATGCCACAGCAGAGAGCTGGATGGGAAGCAGGGCCGCCAGGATTAGAACTGGCGCCCATATGGGATCCCTGGCGTGTGCAAGGCAAGGACTTTAACCACTGCCCTATTGCACCAGGCCCAAGAATTTCTTTCAGTCATTGTATTTTGGATAATGAAAGGGTGGGAGGGAATTGCAGTGTTTTTATCTGTGTAAACTCAATCATGAATGCAAATACACTGTGACTTTCCTCCTGCCTTCCTCCTGGCTACTCTTCACTTAGCCTTTACATCTCCTCCTCTTTGCCTGTGAGCCCCTCCCACTGAGTGTCAGAACCCTACCACCTCGCCGTGGTATTGAAATAGCCATTCAAGTGCCATTGTGTTCCCCCTAATCACTTCCATTTATTCTACCTGCAACTGCCTTTCCTTTATTTTTAAAATTTTTTATGATTTAAAAAATTCAGTTTTAAAAGCTTGGAGAGATTAATCTTCCATCCTTTTTGTCTATTCATATTCAACGTAGCTTCAAATTTGCCTCTCCCTGTATGTCACATTGCCAAATTATGACTTTTATCATTTATCTATTGTAAAAAGCTGGGTGCATGAGATAATAGATTGCATTACTTTCCCATAGAATCTGCCTCTAATGTTATATTCCTAGGCACATGCATTGAAGCATAGAATCCACAAGGAACACATATAACCTAAAGTATTTGAAGAAATGTTTCAACTAACCCAAACCTTGTGCATTTATAGATAAATTAGAAGGGAACAAACCCTGTACATACAACATGTTAGTGTATAGCATGATTTCAAAAGCATGGCAGAAATTGCAGTGTCCTTATGAACTTTTGGCATTGGTTGCCTATCCCTATTCATAGAAGCGGGACTATAAATAGCACTTGACTTTTTGCTCTGCCACGTTTGCCTGATCCCCCTATTTCAACTGGGATGCTACAGGAACAATAGTGCTACCATTACTCTCAAGTTTCCTCAGTTAATGAAAGGCAGATCTTGTAACAACTGAATTTAAAACCGGTAGACAACAGCCAAACAAATAAAACCCATTCTTATTTATTGCTGCAGTTATTGCATAGAGAAACATTTATCACTGAGGTTTAGGGAGTTCTTGCAGGATTTTTCAGTAGGTTCTTTTTTTTTAAGGACTTCTTTTTTTTTAATTTCATTTCATTTTATGACACAGTTTCATAGGCTCTTGGATCCCCCCAACCACTCCCTGTACCCTCCCCCCATGGTGGATTCCTCCACCTTGTTGTAGTAGTACAGTTCAAATCCAATCATGATTCCTTCACTGCAAGCATGTACCAAGCATAGAGTCCAGCATCTTATTGTCCAGATAAATTCAACAGTTTCTCAGGGAGACCATCTCTGGTCTGAAGGCAGAGCTGGCAGAGTATCATCCTTTCCAATGAAAAGCCACAACATAACATCAACAACAATTTACAACACTATGGAGTTAATTGACATGATATTGAGTAACCAATATGTTAGAAAATGCATTTTCTTAACCACATCCCGTGATTACTTCATTGACATTTCAATTTTAGTTTATACACAACCAGCTGCTCTGTACCTTAAAACGGCTATAGAGTACTATTCAGCTGTCTCGTGTCTATTTTCATTTTTATATTTAGCAGTTTATAGTATTGAAGCATAATTATTACTAAACTTGGCAAATTTTAGGATAGTTCAAACTGGCTTATAACTCTAACAAGGCATATGTCAACAGTTGAGGCGCAGAACAGTTTTAGGAGGGGTGTGCAGAGAAATCTTCAATACCTTAGTGAGGAGTAACTGATCTTTGTGTCCTACCTAGTAAGGTATACATGAGTTCAAGCTGACCGTTTCCTGTCTGGTTCTAAGCTTTCCTTATTGGTCTCTGTCTATCTAATCTAATTTTATTTGGTGGGGGGTGGCTTCAGAGCGACCCTGATGGTCATTGCAAGAGAGGGTGGGGATCCAAAGTTGGAGCTAAGTAAGGACCAGAGAAACCTCCCCTCCCAAGTCCTGAAGGGAATTTACTGTTCTTTCATTTCTGAGGTTCACTCAGGGCTCCCGGTATTGTTCCAGTAACATTAGATCCTGTGAGGAAGGATCTGGGCATCTTCCATCCCATGTGGCAGATCTGAAAGGGAGTGGATGATCTCAGAGTTCTTGGCCTACAAAGGCAGTCCAATTCCCCGTGGTCTCTTTGGCAGTTGTGATATAGCCCTTGGTGCCTGTGCTGATAGACCTTGGTAAGGATCCAGGAGTCTTCGGGGCTGGGATACAAGCCTCCTCCTGTCCCTCTGCTCCACTCTGGGGTCCCCTGCTACTCTGTGCATATGATCTCCTGTCTCCCTGTTCCACGCTGGGGTACCCCCCCACTCTGTGCATATGACCTCCTGTCTCCCTGCTCCACGCTGGGGTACCCCCCCCCCACTCTGTGCATATGACCTCCTGTCTCCCTGCTCCACGCTGGGGTACCCCCCCCACTCTGTGCATATGACCTCCTGTCTCCCTGCTCCACGCTGGGGTACCCCCCCACACTCTGTGCATATGACCTCCTCTCCCCCTGCTCCACTCTGTGCCCCCCCACCACTCTGTGCATATGACCTCCTGCTAAGAGGTTGTCAGGATCACTCAGTAGGTTCTTTTCTGCAGATGAAACCCATCCCAAGGTCTAGTACAATTATAGAAACACCCATCAGCAAGTTCCCTTAAGCAGGTTCCTTGATTTTGTGGTATGGCCATGAACTACTTAAATCCTGGTCCTTTCCAAGCCAAAGTAAAGCTACCTGTCTTTGGTCATCTTGTTGGGTCTTAGTCATATTAGATTCTCCTTGATTACTCTGATTGCTCTAAATCAGGGTTTCTCAACCTTAGCGTTCTCAAGGTATTGGTCAGAAAATTTCATTGTGGACTGTGCATCAGCTGCTTTGGCCTTTCCACATAGATGCAAGCAACACCATTACCAATTAGGGCCTTCAAAACACCTATAGACATTTCCAAATTTCTCCTGGGGAGTAAGGTCACTGCTGACTGAGAATAAGAATAGTTGGTTAGAATGATGAACAATAGGAGCCAAGTTTCAAGGTGAAACAGGTGAGGCTACCACCTGGGCTGACTGTTCTGTTTCTAAACTAGATCCATGATGATATGCCTGGGAATAAAACAGACGATGGCCCAAGTACCTGGGCCCAACCACACATATGGGAGCCATGGATGGAATTCCATGCTCTGGCTTCAGCTCAACTGTTACAGTCATTTGTGAAGTGCATCAGATGAGGGAAACTTAATTGATCTCATTTTCTCTCTCTCCCTCCCTCCTTCCCTCTTTCTGCCTTTTCATTCTGCCTTTAAAATAAAATCTTTTGAAAATGCTGAAAAATGTTATTGAACATATTACATGTTTTCTAAGTTTCTAGAAGTTCTAAATCAAACATCATAGTATTAATTCTATTTAATCATCAGCATTTTCCAGGTACATTTACTAGAAGATATATTAAAACAAAATTATGACTACCTAAGAAAACATACTCATTTATACTTAATGAAAATATTTTTCTTGTTTTCATTTCTTTTCTTGCTGAAGGCCCGGATTGCTTTAAATTTTTTAAAAAATCTGCTTTCATAAAAAAATCTTTTATCTTAATATGAATTTAAAAAGCAGATCATCAATCATTTAGTATGAAGGTGAAGGTCCACAATTAAAGCTGTCAAGAATTCTCTTTGGCAGCGTTTCACATACATGTTCTGGCACAGTCAGTACCGACAGCATAATGAGAGGGTGGCAGGAGTCCTTACTTTTAAGCAGATCATTCACATTTGCCCTCTTTTATTTTCTCTATTATTTATATATAGGTCAGATATAATGATTCCTCAAAACACTATGTGGGCAGACGACAAGAAGCGCCAAGTCAAGGCTTTTCTAAGAATTCCTGTACTCATTTCTGAAACTCTAAGTGATGTTAACCTTCCTCAGAAAATTATTAAGAAAGACCAGTTCCACAGAAGTGTTACAAAAATAGGTTTGTGTAAATAGGACATTTATCCTGGAGATAGCAATGTGCTTCTTGTTTGCCTGACCCAAAATGCAGCAGGTGGAATTAGGCAACTCAGAACATACCATGAACACAGCCTGGCTGACAAATGAGATGCTTTTATCCCCAAGGTGGGTGCTGAAGCTAAAGCCAGGAATACCTGGAAATTCCTGAGACTAAGTGAAAATACACTGGCTATTACAGCTACTTGGGGAATGAACCAGTGGATGGAAAATATTTCTCTGTGTAAATCTGCCTTTCCAATAAAAATAAATAAATCTTAAAAAAAAAATAGAGATACAGAATGTGAAGAGATTCACTTAAAGTCAAGAAACAATTTAGTATTTGATGTCAATATCTGAAGTTGGAGCATTGTAGTGTTAAAAAGGAAATTAACAATAATCTAATCTCTGATGAGATATTTTTTATTCCACAAAGTCACACACATGAAAAAGACCAAATTTTCTTGAATTTCTTCCATGTCCCTTTTCTGCAATACCAGAAGGGAGCTCTAAAACACTGTTGCACATAAATAAGCTACCATGAGACTGTAGCTTGCTATGTCAAACCTTTCTGTTTGCTGTTCATTGCATGTGAGCATTCACAAAGCAGTTCTGTGGAAGCATTTGTGTGTTTCACGATGCAGTGGGGTGCTCCCATCAGACTAAGGAGGGGACAGTCTTTGGCAGGAGGGAGGAAACATTCTGGAGACCCTTGATTTGGAAACTGGAAGGAAAAAATGCATTCTTCTTTTTTTTTAAACCACATGTCCTTTCCCTTCCCTTTTACTCTGCCCATGCTGAGTGTCCAAAGGTACCAAATCACCTGTTGGCTGCTCAAGGTTCCCCACTAAAAGCCTACTCCAGGAATGCTTTGCATTAGACTAACTCTGGTAGTCAATGTCATCCTAGTTTACAATAATCTCCTTAAATCTTAATTATCCTCAAGTAAGGCTACTTGTTATGAAGGTATTTTAGAAGGTAAAGTCTTGTAGTAGCCTTTAAATTTATGATGTTGGTGCTTCACCATTCTATGAACTTTGAGAACTAGTTCTGACCAATTAATTGGAGAGATGGTAAAATATTCTTGTGTTCTTCTTTCTATATACTTTGTCTGCCAACATAGCAGTAACTGAAAATCCAAATGATTATGACGATCAGCAGAAATGAAAGTTTGGAAATCCCGACAAAGACTAAAGGTTACATTTGTGGGATCAATCAGACAGTTATTGATCAGAAGATAAAAATATAGATGCAATCTGTGAGGGAGAAAATTATATAAAGAAAATAAGGGAATTTAAAGACTGTATTATTCATATGTTTAGAAGTTAAGCAAAGAAAAGGCATTGGCAAAAAGACAGAAACAGCCATGGGAATCACAGAAGGAAGCTGAGATATGTTTTGGTGAAATAGGTCAGAATTTTCCAATAGTTTTGTTAGAACTTATCAGACTATCACACATGTTCTCCATCTGTATTGAGATATCCAGACTTGTTTGTTCCAAATAAGGCACTTTTTATCTGAAAGTAAACATCTCATGATTCAGAGTTATGGAGGGAGGAATATAAATAGTATGTATGTGCACTGGAACATTCCTTTCATCATCAAAACCTAGATAGATCTACAAAACTCTGATTTTTTAAAGATGTATTTATTTGAAAGGCAGAATTGGAAATATCAGGAAACACAGACAGATCTTCTATCCTCTGGTTCACTCCCCAAATGGTCTCAACATCCAGGGACTGGGCTAGACCAAAGCCAGAAGCTTCTTCCTGGTTTCCCAATGTGGGTTAAGGAGCCCAAATGTTGGACCATTCTCTGCTGCCTTCCCAGGAAGGGAGCTGGATTAAAAGGGGAGCGGCCAGCACTTCAACCAGCAAACATATGTGATGTTTTCATCATAGGTATTACCTTAATATACCAAGCCACAATGCCAACTCCTGGGTGATTTTTAAAAGCCATTCTATAGTAATGTGTAATTCCTTAAAAACTTAAGAGCTTATTTGAGGAGATGGACTGCAGTTCCAGGAGGCAAATGAGTTTACTTGAAGTAAAATTAAAATTAAAATTTTTGCATGAAAGATGGTTAAGTTAATGGGTCCACAGGCGTAGTGTGTTGTAATTTCAGAAAGTCACTTGAGTGACATCTTGGTAAAGTTACAGTTATACACGGGAGTGTTAAGTAGTTCATCAATGTTAACCTGGAAGATAACCTGCCTTAGGGAGATGTCTGGCTTTTCTCTACACTCTGCAGTAGATACTGTAATCATTGGTGTTAATGGACTGAGGAATTAGAACATTTTAATTGACTAAGAACTTAATGAATGGTTCCCTGTGTTTCTTACAAAAATAATAATAAAAACTATACAACCACTTTAAGAAAAATGTATACTATAAATCAAGGAGATGACAATTATATTGATTACTTCCTATCTGAATAGTAAATAAATTTTACAAACCAATTTTGAGGGAGGGCATGAATTAATAACTTAAAATGTTTTCCAAAAAAAGACTTGAGAAAATTATCTCTGTTATTGTTAGTAGAAATTGTCTGATAGTTTGATTTTCTGTGAAAACTACTTCTGTATTTGAAGGAGTGTACTAGGTTAAAAAAGAAGAAGAATCAAATGAAAACATTCCCAAGTAGTTGTGCTTGCTCTAAGACTTGCTACTCCAACACATGGTAGCACAGATAACCACAGCCATACCCTACAGCGCTTTACAGGCTCAGAATTGTTCCAGGCGTGCCCTGTGTGTGGAAGACAAATCAAAGGAGAGGGCCTCAGAGAGACAGAGCTCACCACCCTATGTTCCTAATTCTAAGACTTCACTTAGATGAACCAGTTCCTCCCCAGTAGGGACTAAGTGGGGATAATGGCTTGGAACTTCATTCCAGTTTCTTCCCTAATCTTGGAGTAAAAGTTAAGGCACTTTCAAAACCTTTCTCTTGTGGAAGGAGACACAGGTTCATTAGTGAATGGTCTGCTCAGGATGACCATCCAGCACCCCTGCATCTAGTGAGGAACTTTATTGTCCAGTAGGAATCAGGTCTCCCAGAAGGTGAGTCAATGATGAAGCTTCCAGGAGCTGAGGCAGAAGGGGAGCAGGAGGTATTTGGGACAAACAAAACAGTCCAATTATAGGACCAATTCTCCACTCATTTCAAGAGTTGTTAAAGTAGGAAAGCAATTAGCTGCTTCTGTGTCTCTCCAGGGGGCGGATGGAGAAGCGCTGGAAGGAGCTGTGGGAAGCCAGATGTTTGTTAAATGTAGGAAGACAGTCTTTAACACAGGAAAACATAAAAGTCCCAAAGGAAGCACGTATTTACAGAATCTCTTAAATAGAGGCTAACAGAATGCTGTAGAAGAAATTCTTAGGTTGAATAGGTGCTTGGAATCAAAGTTCCAAAGAGAAAGAAAATGAAAACTGTATTTTCAGAAAGAGATCTCAAGGAAGGGCAAGCTGAGCAATGGTAGGACAGCATAAGGAAGATGCAGCATTCCCACTTGGCATGTAGTTGATATAAACACACACACACACACACACACACACACACACACACACACACACACACACACACACAGAGGACTTATAAGAAGTGTTGGGTGTTATTCCCAACTTTTAAACTTCTACTAAATGGTTGATGGAAAGCACTTGCTCTAAGCCGAGTTTGCATTTTCTCTGCAGACAAGTCATCTCTTAGGTATAGTAGAACATCATTTTGCTTCCACTCTTCAACCTGAAAACATTGATCTCAAATATCACTTATAAAGTTTATGTGAAAAGCAAGCCAAAGGGCAGCAGTTCAAAACTCAAAGTGAAGCCAAGATGTAATTTTCCTATGTTCATGTAGCAGCTGATAGACAAAAATCAATGCATACTATTTAAGTAACAATGCCTCAGAATGCTAATAAAAGAAACAGAAAGAAACCATAAAAGAAGCAAGTTAATGAGGCATCTTTGTGTTTCATTCTTCCTCTGAGACTGTGGCAGAAAGGACATTTAAGCCTCTTTTCAAACCATAAATGGATGAACTGGTGGGTCGAAATAGTGCCATTCTTGGTTCCCGTCAGTGTCTGCATTCTGTGTGGGACACAGATAAGTGGAACGTGGTCCTCTGTTGCATAGTGACATGATCTCTGGTGAAGGGAGTTGATGTGTGATTGTTCCATTAATATCTACTTTCCCGACTGGACTATCATCTCCATGTGTAAAGAATGTAACTACTTTTACTATTTTATTCTTCTGACACCTACCATGGACCTAGCATAAACTGGTTGCTTAGTAAGATTTTTTTCAATCAAAGAAAAAAGAAACGGAAGGACTTTATGAAGGAAAAGACAATCTGGAGTGAAGAATGGCTTTCTTTAGGCAGGACCTGGAGTTGCCAAATTTAGGGGAGAAAGTAGTCAATTGGGGGAGAAAATGTGTCAGGCTATGGGACGAAGGTGAATGGGAAGTCAGTGTTTAATGGACCCAGGGATTCAGTTTGGGACATTGAAAAAGGTTCTAGAGGCAGGTGGTCACACAACAGTGTCCATGCGCTTATATGTCACGAACTGTATACTTTAAAATGGTTAATTCAGTTTATGTATTTTTTAGCTTTTTTTTTTAAAAGAAAGGGTTTCTTGAAAGAGAAGACAGGTTATTCTGGGAGGATACAAGAGACTACCTAACAAAGACTAGGAGAAATTCCATTGTTTGGGAACTATAGTCACATGGAATACAGTCACAAAGGAAACAGAATGTCTGGTGGAGGGTGTTCCCCAGGTCATGGCATTGATCCATTCCAACCCCACCATGACGGAAGAAAACAAGGGCTTCCTCCAGTGTGACTCACAAGATCTGACACTTTGCCCTCACAGACTTGAGGTCAGTTGAACAGGTTTCTTAGTGGGGTGATGGGACTGTTGTCAGCAGAGATGGCCCATCGGTGCCAGACCCTACAACTCTTGTGGCAGCCTGTAAGTTTTATCTCCTGTTTGTTTCCTCTAGTTGTCTGCTGCTGTGTTTCGCTCTTGTTGGAACCTGGGAAAAGAAAAGCACTAATACCACCATGGGTTTTCTCTCTTAAAGGATCATGTGCAAGTGGCTGATGTTTGGGCCGTGGACAACACAGGGGAAGAGAAGCTTCCACAGCACCTGGAGCAGCTGTCCTCCTCCAAAGAAGGTGGCCTCCACGGCCTGCCCCTGCCTGAGGATGTGCTGTCGGGAGAAGAATATGAGTGTGTCTCGCCTGATGACATCTCCTTGCCCCCACTCCCGAGAAGCCCAGAGTCCCCCCTTGTGCCCTCTGACATGGAGGTGGAGGAGCCCCATGGCCTTCATTCCCCCAGCCTTCCCATCAGCAGCTGTCAGATGCAGACAGGGGCCAGAAGTCCTGGGCAGACCCAGGAATCTGTTCTTCCTCCACCTGCTGCTTTTGCTGATGCATGCAATGATAAGGGTGCAACATTTTCAAGTCATTTTGACAAGCCTGGTCCCCAGTTCAAATCTGAGCCCCCTGTAACCTCAGGAAGATCTCTGGAAAAGAGTGTTGCTTTGTACAAATCCCACGCTAAGCATCCTGAAAGCATGCCAAGGGAAGTGCATGAGAGGGCCTCCCAGCAGCACCCTCAGGCTCAGGGAAGTGTGGGTCAGATGCATGCTGATAATAACGGCACTAAAACCCAAGAACCAGAGCAGCTGCATGCTGCCTCTGACACGACCTCCAGCCTCAGCTTTCAATCCAGCTCCAGCCGGGGATGTCAGAGGCAAGTGGTTCCCCAGGAAGAAGTTAGAAGCACAGCAGCAAAGAACCACGTGGTCAGCCTAGCTGGCCAGGCTCCTAACTTCTCCAGGCTCCTGTCTAATGTAACTGTTGTGGAAGGTTCTCCAGTGACTTTGGAAGTTGAAGTAACAGGATTTCCAGAGCCTACACTGACATGGTGGGTAGCCTACAATGACAAACCATAAATAGAAACACATAGAACCTCTAAGAAAAAATCATTTTGTGTGTACTAATATAAAGGTTTAGGGTTAGCTGGCTAACATTCTATGGCACTGCAGTTCTGCATGATTCTCACTCACACACCCCAACTCTCTTTAGTAACAGCATGGCTAATATCTCCAAGAAATAAGTAGCCATCTAAGATCATAATTTAACAAACTCCAAAAGTACTGTAAGTTGATTATGCTTGTTTTTATTTCCCTTTGTTGTTCAACATTCCACAATTTTAAAGAGTGGCTTGCAATTCTTTCCCCTTGTCTCTTTCTACAGAAGCCTGGAAATTTCTTGATTTCACCTTCCATGTACAACAAAGCACAAGAATTTGAGTTTTCCCCTTTCATTTAGCAATTTCATCTTTTCCATCTTTTCAACAGTGTTACACTTGCCACCCTTCTTAATAATTGTTTGGTTTACTAAGATTTCTTTTTATAAATTTCTTCAACGTGACGAGTGGTATAAAATAATTCTTTCACAGTTATTCCAGGTAACAGGTAATAAACCCATTTTGGAAAGGTGGTGCAATAGCTGAGCTGTGAAGATCATGATTTCACTCTGCATACTTCATTTTCTAGCCTATTTGTTTTGGTAAAAGTAAAGTGTATATTGCTTTCAGTACTGTTAGTCATAACAAAAACAGTCCCGGCTTTTTCAATGGAGCATTACTTTGAAACATTTAGGCATTCTTTTTTTGTACTTAAGTAAATTCATTTGAGAATAGATTTATGAGTATGTGAGAGTGTGGCTATAAAATACTTATAAATTGCAATCATGGTGTGTGCTGATTGATGATATTCAAAGTGAATTAATTACTTAAAGAAATTATGGGAAAAAAGTGTTTTCCCAAATTATAAAAGCAGCAGCACATGTGCTGGAATGCAGACATACAATTTGTTTTATTTTGTTTTTTTCCCAACTGCATGTTTTTGTTTTTGTTTTTTACAGATCAGAAAGTTTTATTTATGAATTGAAAAGATATTTAATGCATAATTAAATATCAGTTCACCTCAAAGAAAAATGTTGTCTGAAGTGTTTCTTATTTTTGCTCACACATAGAAGCAACTTGGTTAGTATGTATCATTGAAAAGCTGCTCAAGCACTGTGAAAAAAAATTAAGTTGGAATTCTACCTAGTTTGGCAATTAACAATAGATAACTTATTATGGGATCGTTCTTAAAATGCAAAGAAAAATAAAAAATCACTTAGGCAGTGAGGACAGGGAATCATTTTTGTTTGCTGTAAGTTCTTATATGGAATCATGGGTATATAGAAATAGAATCTAGAATATACAAAATAAAGTATTTGCTTTATTAAAAGCAGATCAGTGCTCTCATTCATAGTAAACTTTTGATGTCCGTGACAATCAAAATCCACTCGTATAAATACCTTTTCAAAGGTAGTTAGGTTAATTCAGTTCATTCACAACAATCGAATGAGCATGTTACCCCAGGAAGTGGTGTTCAGGTAGCTTGCTTACCATAGCACTTTGGAACTGTGGTGGGAATCTTGTGGCATGGACATACTGGGGCAGGCGAGTCTCCCTCCAGTACAGATTCCAGGGAGTTACCAGCTGCCATTTCATAGCTGTCGGAAGAGTGAAGCAGACCAGTTGTAAGTGTGCGTTTTTACACTCTGGGTAATTGTTGCCATAAGCAAATACTAGCCCCATGTGTCCAGATGGTCTTGTTTTTGAAGAGTAGCTGGAATCTGAATTTCCAAATGCAAAATTCTAACTGTTAAGTGTTATCAAAAAATTCAGTTTCTAAATCCACGGTCTGAGCAAGTCACACTTGCTGCCAGTGCCAGCCTCTGCCTGGGTGACAAATAGGCCCCCTGGAAGCAGCAAAATCCCTACTGACACTAGTGAGTGCTGCCATGGTTATGGGGCTCTGGGCCATTGTTTTTAGCACTTGGGAATTATGCAAATCGACTGTCTTTCTGACTGTAAAACCGACTCTCTACTTCAGGTACAAGAAGGGCCAGAAACTGTCTGCAGATGAGCACTTGCAGGTTGTACACAAGGAGACAAGGCATTCGGTGTTCATTCCGAAGGTATGCGAGGCAGATGCAGGTCTGTATGTGGCTCGGGCCCAAAATTCCAGTGGAGCTCTCTCTTCCCAGGCCATCCTCCATGTGACAGGTAACAGCAGGCCACCCATCACAAGGATAAACTGGATAACGCTCGGTGTCCTCTACCTTACTGTCTCCTTAATACACTGGCTACTCACTCAGTAACTGCTGTTGACATGAATGGACATTTTCCTTGCTACCTGGAGGGGCAGTACAATTGTTTTGCACAAAACATTCCTGCACAAGTGTATTTGTTCTCTGGCTATCTTGTTTATTTGGCTAATACTACCTAGGGAAAACAAGCAAATGTTCTGTAGTATTTAATGTATTTGAGAAAAGTTACAGTGAGTGAGGTTTTCTAGAAGGCTATGTGCACAATATAATCTATAGCAAAACTATATCACACTTATTGCTGCCTGATACTTTAAATCATGTAACAGTTTAATTACCGTGTAAGAATTGTACATGTTAATGGATTGTTATGCAATGTTTCAGTAGTTGTATACAGTCTAAAGTGATCAGATCAGGCCATTTGCATTTCCGTTTATCTAGCTCATGGTTAGAGCCGGACTAGCTCTTCTCTTTCAGTTCCTTAATCAGAATGTAATGGATTTTTGTGAGCAACAGTCACCCCACTGTGCTGTGGTACACTAGAGCTGATTACTTCTAATTGTGTCATGTTTTCCATTATCCATTCCACCCACATCCTTCCCAGCATCTAATAATCACTAGTGCAGGTTTAGATTTTCTTAAATCTCCACATATGAGAAAGAACATGTGGTATTTGTTTTCTGTGTGTGTTTACGGCTTGCATCACTTAACATAATGACTTCCTGTTCCATACATTCTGCTGCAAATGTCAGAAATTCATTCTTTTTGTTTTAAGATTTACTAATTCATTTCAGAGGCACAGTTGAGAGAACAAGAGAGAGAGAGAGAGAGAACCTTCTACCCACTACCTCATTCTCCAAATGGCAATAACAGCTGGGAGTGGGCCAGTTCAAAACCTGAATGGGCCTGGAGCTCCATTTAGGCCTCCCAAATGGGTGACAGGGGCACAACTGCTTGGGTTAATTTCTACTGCCTTTTCAGGCACATTATCAGGGAGCTGGATTAGAAGTAGGGCACTCAGGAGTCAAGTTAGTGCCCACAGGGGAGGCCTACATTATAGATGACGATCTAACTCTGCACCACAGTGCTGGCCTCAGGAAGCTGATATGACAGAATAATATTCCGTTGTATGCCACATCCATCTGTTGAAAGGTTGAATCCATATCTTCACTGTTGCAAATTGTGCTGTAGTGGACCTGGGAATATAGTTGCCTTTTTCATGTGCTCGTTTTATTTTCTTTGAGTACCTTCCTAGGAGTAGAATGGCTAAACTGTATGGTAGATTTATTTATAGTTTTCTGAGCAGCCCCCATACTGTCCTCCACACTGCTTGTGCCAATTCACATTCCCACCAATGAAGTATAAAGTTTCTTTTCCATGTCTTCACTAGCCTTTGCTATTTTTTGTTCATTCCAACTGAAACAAGATGATATATCATTGCAGTTTGCAAAGGTATCTCACTGATGCCCCTGATATTGAATATATTTTTGTTGGCCATTTTTTTGTGTGCTGAATATTTTTTTGTATTTTTGTGCTTGTTACTTTGTGAAATGACTATCTAGATCTTTTTGTCCAATTATCTACTCACTGGATTATTTGATTCTTTGTTGTTTTAAAACATTTCTAACAGATTCTGGTTACTAATTACTTGTCAGATGTGTAGTCCAAATATTTTCTCCATTCCATTGTTTGTTTCTTCATTCTTTTCGCTATTTTTTTTTTAATTTTTTTGCTGAGCGAAGGTTTTAAGTTTGATACAATCCCATGCATCTAGCTTTAGTTTTGTTGCCTATAATCTTTGAGATCTTACCCCAAATTTATGCTTACATTAATGTCCTAACCTTCTTCTATTTTTTTTTCTTCTACTAGTTTATAGTTTCTAATTTTCCATCTACAATTTTGATCTATTTTGAATCAACTTTTATATAGAGTGAGCAATAAAGAGGACCTGGCTTTAGCCATCTGCAAATGAGCATGCAGTTTTGCCAGCACCATCTATGGAAGAGACTGTGCTCTCTCAAGTGTGTACTTTGGTTCTTTTGTTGGGAATGAGTTAGCTCTAGCCACTGGGATTCATTTCTGGAATCTCTGTTGTGTTTCATTAGTCTAAGTATCTGTATTTATACCACTAGCATGCTGTTTTCATTACAATAACTCTGTGCTGTGACTTGAAATCATATATTATTATGACTCCAGCTTTGTTCTTGTAGTTCAAGATTGCCTTTGCTACTCAGGGGCTTTTGTACTCAATATTAATTTAAGATCTTCTTTCTGTTTCTGTGAATAATATCATTGGTGTCTTGATGGGCATTGCATTGGATCTCTATTGCTTTGGGTTGTATGAACATTTTAATAATAATAATCTCCCTCTCTGTGATCATGAGAGATCTTAATGTGTGTGTGCGTGTGTGTTCTACAATTTGTTTAATTAATATTTTGTAATTGTCACTGTAGGGGCCTTTCAAATCCTTGAGAAAATTTATTCCAAAGTATTTTTATAGTGATTATGAGTGGGATTGCTCTTATTAAACAATTGCTAGTAAGTTCATTATTGGTGCATAAATGCTACTGATTTTTGCATGTTAATGTTGTATACTGCTACTTTACTGAATTTTTATTCCTCTTGTGACGTCTACATGTTTTTGTGTATGCAGAATATTGTGTCATCTGGAAGGATGTGGAAAATGTATAGTTTGACTTCCTCCTTTCCCTTTTTTTTTTTTTTGACTTTTTCTTTTATAATTGTTTTTTACCTAATTGTTCTGGCTAAAATTTCTGGTCCTATATTGAAGTAGGGAGCTATAAAACAAAAACAACAAAAAAATACTTGTGTGGTTCCAGATCTTAGAGAAAATGTTTTCAGCATCTATCCTGGCTATTTATTCCCTCATAATTTAAAAGCATCCATATAAAGGCTCATACCACCACAGAGATGAAAGCTAAATTTCAATGCCAAGTGCTTGTTAATTTATTTTTAATAATATTCATAAACATGTCTTTGTACAGAATGATAGTAGAAATATTGAATGCGGTTGGAATTTCCATTACTGCATTGGCTATTCTTCAATTGTTTTGCTCTTGTGGTAATCTCGGTTACTGAAGTATAACTCACATGGTTTCTACATAGATTGTGTTCCTGAGTCTGAGGATGTCACTATAATCATTTCATGTTGGTGTCATGGTTTTGAAATTGGAGAATTGACATGCTGTCAGCTTTAAATGGATTTTCAATCTTCCCTCAGCTCTGCGTGTTGTAGGAAACAGGCTGGAGGAATGGAAGGCACTGTTAGTCATTGATGTGAATATGTAGCTGCAAGCAGTTTTTCTTGCTTCTCGTCTTTTTAAAAGAAATGTTTATTTATTTATTTTTAATACACTTGAAAGGAAGAAAGGGTGTAAGAAGAGAGGGATCTCCCACCCAAAGGCCATAGCTAGGCCAGGCCACGGCTAGGAGCCCAGAACTCCGTCCAGATCTTCCACATGTATAGCTGGGACTCAAATACTGGACCCATCGTATGCTGCCTCTTACGCTGCATCAGCAGGATGCTGGATTGGGAACAGAGTAGACAGGACTCAAATCAGCTATTCTGTATGGAGTGTAGGCCTGTAAGTTGTTGCTTGACATGCTATACAACACCTACCATTGCTTCTAATCTTGATTTTGCTGTTGACCATTTTTATAGTCTGTGGTGAAGCATCTAATTACCTTAGTTTCATATGGAAAGTGGGTTCAGCATCTACCTCTCAGACAATTGAGAATTTTTATTTCATGTCTTATAAAGACCTAAGTAGAAAGCACTCTAGGAAGGCTGAGACCATTCTCTTGTTTAATGTCATTTATCATCATGCTGGTCAGCTGCCCACTATGTGCTTTGAGAAGCTATTTCTTTAGACTATTAAAGAAGTGCTGCTAATATGTAATTTTCTAACTATTCCCATGGAGAAAAATGATGTCCTATGATTTGAAACTTAAATTCCTTTTCAATTTCTTAAGATTATATCCTTTTCAGAGATTTGAAACTAAACTCAGAGGGGTATACCTGATATGTCCTAGTGGGGGTGGGATGTGTAAAGATATATAGTAAGATAGTATGAAAAATTTTACTCCTGTAAAATAATTATCACTATAATATTCAAGCAATGTCTATATCTTCCTGAAATACCTTATTCAGAAAAGATCATCTTTTTGGGTTGCTATGGAAGTAAACTTGAACAAGAGAGGCATTTGTTTTTGGTGTTTTTATAAAGACAGTCTTGTTATAAGAAGGCAAAATCTTCAATGAAAGAATAATTCATTAATTTTTTGATGAGCAGAGGCAATTGATTATGCTGCTGGAAGGCTGTCTACAAAGAGTCACAATATTTAACTGTAATATATTCAAATTGTTATTAAAAAGTTACTAAATGTTGTCTGAAGATGTGAAATGTGTAGTCAAGTAGAAAGTTGTCATTCTCTGCCTTCTGCTGCATATTCAATTTAATTAAAATTAAAACTAATGTTTTAAAGAATAGAGAAACCTGTTAAAAGCATATGTACAGGGGATTCTAGGGAACACATAGTGTCTTATCTTTGCAATTCCATCCTTTAGCCAATTTCTAGTATTTTGTGTGTCTTACCTAACTGCTGTTGCTCACATTGGAGCTAAGGAACAAAATCTTTTCATATCAAGGAGAATAGGCAAACAAAGTAACAAATCCTCCCTTCCCATTTGTTAATCTCTTTCGTGATCATTTGAAGCAATGTCCCTTCACAATTTATCAACGTAATTGAATAAATGTTTTTAGGCATTAGAATTGCTAGGTTTGCTTTCCCTATCCCGTGCTGGCTAATGTTAATCCTTTGGGGGAGTGGAGTGGGATGAACATTCATCCATGATATGTGACTGAATACAGCATGGGAAGTCTTCCAGTATGCATATATGTGTCATATATATACACAGAGCTCAGACATAGAAGTAATTACTATTCTGTTACTCATTATACAGATCAAAGAATTTTCTATATATCTATTGACCTATCCTTCTGGATTATCAATCGATTAGTAATTCCCATGA